TCCCTGCTTAAATTTAGGCAGTAGAAGACCCGCCTTGTCTTCTCTCTATTTCCAGCAAGGTAATGTCTTACATTAGAGTGCCAGATCCAGAAAGGGGGAGCCACCAGCCACACTCATTAAAATGAGGGGAAGCCAGGAAGCAAGCAGTCAGAGCCAGGATTAGCAAACTCTGTCCAACAGGGGGGTAACTGGGTTCTCTGCCAACAGCTTCCTGCCCTGGGCGCCTCCTTGAGAGAAGTTAAAGGGTCATGGTGCCATCCCTCTGTGTTCTCATTTCTCCCAGTGAGGAAGGGTACAGAGCTAACAGAGATGACCCTGTGGTGCCAGCTGACTGTCTTACTTCCTTGGTCTAGCCCAAGACTTCCCTGACCTTGACACCTACACACACACACACACACACACACACACACACACCTAATCTCTTACAGTTGTGGTTTATTGAAAGCTGTGCATACACGGGTGTAATTACTGGTGTTTTATACTGAGAGTTTCAACAAATACCCTGTTCCCTCACAGCCTACCCTCTGCTTAGTGCTGTTCTCCTTACCTGTTATCTCGGGGCTGCTATTGCCGTGGCAAAACACCATCATCAAAAGCAAAGTTGGGAAGAAAGAGGTTTATTTCAGCTTCTCAGGTCACATTCCATCACTTAGGGAAGTCAGGGCAGGTACTCAGGGCAAGGAACCAGGAGACAAGAACTGAAGTAGAGGCCATGGAAGAAAACTTTGCTCAGCCTGCATAAGCAACTCAGGATCACTTGCCCAGGAGTGGTACCCTCCCTCATGGGATGGGACCTCCCACATCAATCAAGACAGAACCCCACAGACTTGCCTATGGACCAGTCTTACAGAGGCAATTTCTCAGTTAAGATCCTCTCTTCCCAGAAATGCTTAGGTCTCTGTCAAGTCAACTTACTTTATTTTATAAAGACAAAACCTTCCATTTTGGTGTACAGAATTATAATTAAGGCATCAATAAGTATAATTCCAGTTTGGCAGGCATATTAGTGAGCACCAAGTAGTTCAAGCGTAGGCAGTCTGAGGACAGTCACTGCTCCTAGAGGACCATCAGTTCGTTCTGTAGAAGGAGTTGGTTTTCAGATAGATGTTTTGGTTCCTCCTCAGTATAATGTGTCCTGAGTCCATATGGAAGAGTGATTCTTGGAGTGAATTTGTGGATTCTTTAGTTATACTGAAGAACCTTGACTGAAAGGGTTTATTTATTTATTTATTATTGTTTATTTTGTTTTTGGATTTTGTTTGTTTTGTTTTGTTTTTCAAGACAGGGTTTCTCTGTGTAGCAGTTTTGGTTGTCTTGAAACTTGCTCTATAGATCAGGCTGGCCTGAAACTCACAGAGATCTGCCTCCTGAATCCTGGGATTAGAGGTATGTGCCACCACCACCTGACTGTAAATTTTTTATGATCAGCCTTCCAAAGAAGCTTTTCTTTCTTTCTTTCTTTCTTTCTTTCTTTCTTTCTTTCTTTCTTTCTTTCTTTCTTCCTTCCTTCCTTCCTTCCTTCCTTCCTTCCTTCCTTTCTTTCTCTCTCTCTCTCTTTCTTTCTCTCTCCCTCCCTCTCTCTCTCTCTTTCTCCGTCCCTCTTTTTTTTTTTTGCCTTCCTTCTTTCTTGCTTGCTTTTTAACATCTGCAGAAAGTTGTACTGAAGGCAGCCCGTGGAGATGGTCACTCAAAATCAGGCTTTCTGTGCAAGCATGCACACGCATGCGCACACACACACACCTACCTTAGGCCAGTTGTTGAACTTCCTTGAACCTCAGGGGCTCCATTCATCACATGAAGACAAAGGTAGCTGTGGAAATGAAGAAATGAAGAGGCCAAATGCATAGCGATATTACCTGCCAAAGACTAGGTTTTATTGTATTCTAGGGCATTAACCCATTTTGTCTCTCTAAGAAATATTAAATACGAGTTTTTTCTATTGAGCAACTATGAAACTTGTTTTAGGACAAGAAATTCAGATCTTTTATCTTCCCCACCCAGTAAGACTTTTTGTTTTCCATGACAGGGTTTCTTCATGTAGCCCTGGTTGTTCTGGAACTCACTTTGTAGACCAGGCTGATCTTTTTTTTTTTTTTTTTTTTTTTTTTTTTTTTTTTTTTTTTTTTTTTTTTTTTTNTTTTTTTTTTGAGACAGGGTTTCTCTGTGGTTTTGGATCCTGTCCTGGAACTAGCTTTTGTAAACCAGGCTGGTCTCGAACTCACAAAGATCCGCCTGCCTTTGCCTCCCGAGTGCAGGGATTAAAGGCGTGTGCCATCACCACCCAGTTCCCATAACTTTTATGCAAATGTTTTAGTACCCCTTACCCAATAAAACCTTTGTTTACACAAAGACCCTCTCCACATTCTCAGATTAAAATCTTTGACCCCCTGGCACCTTCATTTATCTTGCTCCAATTCTTTTAAAACTATGCACTCTTGGGAGTCTGAAGTCAGACCTCAGCCAATGGGGAAAAGATACAGTTACCACTTGAGTCAAGATAAGCACATCTATACTTCCTGTCTCTGTGGGTCTCTTTGTTCGTTCTTTCTAGTTCACCCTCCTGAACAAGAGTAAAGTTTTACCTTGTTGAGACACTTCAATTAGAATGATGGTCTCTGTCTTTGGAACCTCAAACTTATTTCTAACAGTAGACTTAGCAAAGTTATATCAGAATTCCTTCTCTTATGTGTAACATGTGGGCCTGCTCATTGGGGTTTCTGTATGAGGGCCGGCTTGTTGGGGTTTCTGTCCCGCCCAGTTCCCACAGCTGGCAAGTCCCAAAGAAAATCACACAGAGATCTTCATAAGTTATAAAACTGATTGACCCATTAGCTCAGACTACTTATTAGCTCTGGTAGCTTATATTAACCCATTATTCTTATCTATGTTAGCCACATGGCTTGGTACCTTTCTCAGCTGGGTAGGTTACATCTTGCCTTTCGATGGTCTGGGCAGGAATGGAAGGAATTGGCTTCCTCCTTCCTAGAATTCTCCTGTTCTCATGGCCCCGCCTCTACTTCTATCTGGTTGACCCGCCTATACTTCCTGCCTGGCCAATCAGTGTTTATTCAAAATATGATTGACAGAATACACACAATTCTCCTGCACCAGTTATGGATTCTGAATACAGTTGCCATCTTTAGCATTCCCCCATTGACTGACTTGAAGAGTGTGTTTCCCTGTGTTCCACTCTAGTGTTTGTATGACAAACATATTTTTCACATTTTGGAATATACTTTGATAGACCATGAATCTACCACTTTTCTCAACAGGTAGTCATTGGCAAAGTTCTTCCCGCTGTAAATGCTAGTTAAGTTATGGGAAACACATAGGATTTACATTTTTATAATTTCTGCAAGGGGCGAGCAAACCGTCTAGCCTTCCTAGTTAGGTGGAACCAGACCCTGAGGCAATGAGGTTGGAAAGAAATCCCTTGTCAGGATCTGTACCTACTAGAAAAAGGAATAAGAAAGCAAGGCAAACCTAGCAGAGAGACATTTTCATTGTGTCCTTTCCGGTTATGAGCACAAGATAATGAAGGAAGGTAATTTTGAAAGCTTTATGTCAGTTTTAATAGTCCCTCAAGCACTAAAAAAGATAATAGTCAATGGATAGTGCCCATAAGGATTTTTTTCTCCTTCTCCCTTGATAACTATTGGCAGGGATCATTTTGTATTTGTAACTGCTGTCACTGAAGCATGGAGAAAAGGCCCTGGAAGGCCAGAGGATGAGGACAACTTCCTTGTACAGACCTCTGTTGTCATCATTGCGGCAATAATAGTTATCACCGTTTTGTGGAGCTTAAGGCTATAGGATTTGGGTTTCATCAAATCACACTAGCATAAAACCATGCTTTAAATCCTGCAAGAACATTTTATAAAGAGAACTATCCAACAGGATGAAAATAATTACCAATGCAGGTCACTTGACCAATACAGTTATTTATGTGATGCTAATAGCTCTTCAGAGGCTTTCAGATCCACTGCCAGTCTGATGCACCCTCTACTCCCTTCCCCTCCCCTCCCTAGTCCTCCCTCCCCTCCCCTCCCCTCCCTAGTCCTCCCCCCCCCCAAGGACTAGGCTTAGAGATGGATAGGAATGTAAATTACTGCAGATGAGCTTTCAGAAGTCCTTTGGTAGTTTCCATTCATTATCCACAATGCGAGGAAAAGGAGTGGAGTCAGGTCTTCTAAGTCATCTTTGTTACACCCTTATCTCCTCCCGCAGAGCTCTGCATAGTGTTAAACTAGCCTTACTAGTTTTCCCACGGACAGAAGTAGGGATGCCAAATCCTTCCTGTATTGACTAGTGTTACATCAGCTTGACACAAATTAGAGTCATCAGAGAGGAACGAGCCTCAGTTGAGGAAATGCCTTCAGAAGATCCAGCTATAAGGCATTTCTTTTCTCAATTTGTGATCAATAGGGAAGGGCCTAGCCCATGGTGAGTGGTGCTGTCCCTGGGCTGGTGGCCATGGGTTCTATAAAAAAAGCAGACTGAGCAAATCATGGGGAACAAATCAGCAAGCAACACCCCTCCATAGCTCATGCCTCTAGAATCCTATGGTTGGAGTTACTATCCTGACTTCCTTCAGTGATGACCAACAATATGGAAGTGTAAGCCAAATAAATCCTTTGTCCCCCACAACTTGCCTTTTGGTTATGGTGCTTTGTCGTAGCAAATAGAAACACTAACTGAGTCTCTTTCAAAGTTCGATGGTATGCATGAAGCAAGACTGGAGATGCTTGTGTGAATGTCATCAAAGGCAGACAGTAGGAGACAAAGAAAAGGGGTGAAAAGGAGGACAAAAAAAAACACAATCAAAAAGGAACAAAACCAGCGACTGAACGTAGGGAAGAGAGGAAAATGAAAGAAGCAGCAGGGGAAAGTACGATGCCAACAGCCTGAGTGAGCCCGGAGCGGTGGGACTACAACCCCCAGAAGTCTTTGCGGCGCCGCTGGTCAGGACGTCAATCTCCTAGGTAACGCATATAAACAATATGGCTGCCTACGAGAACGGTCCCTCGAGAGGGAAAGGGCCCTCTCTCCAGCAGGGCTTGGGCGCCCCTCGCGCTGTAATCCAGGCAATACTATCGCTCGCAGCAAAACGTCGTCGGACACAATGGCCTCCTTTTCCCATGGGACAGAGAACAAGAGGGACTTTCAAAAGCGCCTCCTCCCACCTCCTCCAACAGCTCATCCGCCGCTCTCAGGAAACGGAGACGGAAGCGCAGGGCGAAGAGGAATCCTCGGAAGAGTCAGAGGAGTCCGAAATGCTGAATTTGGAGGTGTGCCTTCTCCCACTCCCATCTGCATCCTCACCCCAGCCCCGGGCTTCCTCCAGCTGCCAAACCTGGCTGCCTCAGTTGCAGCTCGCTTCTGCACTTCTGCACCCCACTCATTCTGGCCAGGCGCCCCTTTCCCAGATGGCGAGGACTTTACTTTGCTGCTCATTTCTGTTCTGTTTCTGGTGTTCTTCACCTCCTCTCTGGGGTCGGAGCGGGGTGGGGGCACAGGGGTTTGAGAGGACAGAAACCCTCTAAATATCTGCCTTCTTTTCGTGGTTTCTTATATGTCAGATTACCCACTGCCATTATGAAAAATTATCTGTGTTATTTGTATGGAGGTTATGGGGTTAATGCTTTCAAAATTACCCCTTGCTAAAGTTGCTACCTTAGCATCAAGAGGTTTTTGATATCCCCAGTGTGTCTCTCCAAACTGAAGCCCTTCTGTACTCTCCCCAGTTGTGGGCTCATCTTCCTCCTTCCTCTAGGGTGAGAAATTGCCTTTTTGAAATAATCCATATCCTCCGACAAAGTCCAAATAACTTAAAAGTTTTACATATTGCATCTCCTAGGGTATAAGCCTACTGAAGCACTCGCCACACTTCCTGGTCAAGAAGGGAACCATAGCATGATCAGAGAGCCAGCTTACCCTCACTCGTGAGAATGTTTGGGTTGTGGGAGTGCTCTCAACATTCCCAACTCTTAGCTGGTTTTCGACATACTTTTTCCCCTACTCACCCAATCCCATTTTCAACACTTGACTGTATTCCCACACCCTTGGCTGCCCTTTCTTACCCTCGTCTCCTTTTTCACTGCGTTCCATTTCTTCCTTCTATTGGCTTCTAATAATTGCTCTTTTTTCAAAATCATAAATTGGTTTGTTCCTCTCCCCCACACAGACTCTTCTCTTTGTTTTAGCTACTCAGAATCAATATTTTTCTTAATTTCAGTTCTTACCTTTCTATTGGACCCCTTCTTTTCCTTCGGCGTAGAAATCAATCGCTTCAGCTTCTTGACCTCTGTGTCATCTCCTAGTCACTTTTCTCCCTGATATCAAACATTTCTCTCCTCAGTATTCCTTGAATAAGCTCCTTTCCTGGTTTGTCTTATTTTCTTATTCTTCCTCCACTACCCTTCTGTTACTCTGATTCTGCTCTTCCTTGGGCTCTTGTCTGTAATGCCTTTTTGTTCACTTTGAATATTGGATTGACCCCCACCCCATCCCTCATTTTGTCTCTTTTTACACTTCTCTCTTTGTGGTCTAGTTACATCCTGATTTTGCTTGATGTTGGCCTTAGAAGGGTACCAGAAATGGTGTGCCTACCTACACTCCCAGCCCTGGAGGTAGAGATAGGAAGGTAGTCCTGAGTTAGAGGTCATCATGGTCTACACCCTGCCTTAAAAATAATAATAAAAGAATAAAAACAAACTTAAACAAACAAAAGGCCATTATTTATCTTATTCTTCCTTTGTTGGTTAATTTTGCTGCCTTCAACTTGTGACTACCACAAATGCAGTGGTGTTTTTGCTCCTTTGAAATGTTTGCATGGTTTCCACCACCTTCTACCCCAGAGGAATTCACAAATGAACCACCAGCATACTTTATGATTCTAATTAGCAAAAGCTCCTTGGCTCTGGGTTCATTAGTGCCATCGTTAATCTGTCTTCAGCACGTCATTAACAAGCCATAGAAGGGGCCATTCAACTGGTTTGTCCTTGCTGGTTCGGTGAATATGCTGAGAAAGAAAAGTTTATTATGTATTCTAGTTACATTCTAGGTATTGATACTGACTTGGCTTTTCATGGTATGGCTTAGGCTTTAGAATGTGGAATGAAAAGTTATAAACTGAACTGAAGAGTTATAAAGAAGTGTGCATTCGTGTTGAGTGGTTTATTTCCCACATCTTATGGGTAATAATGTGGTAGTCATAACCAACAATGCAGCTAGCTTCAAACTCCAGGAGCCCTAATGAATTTAAGAGAAGCAGTTGAGACCAGCTGCTTGGAGCAAACACCCACTGTCTTTGGGATGAAAGGTTTTATGGTCGAGACCTGGGTTAACCTTTTGTTAGTAGCAAGATTTTGAATAAGTTACTTAGCTTATCTAGACCTCAAATACAGGTTTGCTAGTCATCGCTGTCTCATAAGATGACTACATGATATCCTATATGTAAGTAAAGTGCTTAGCATAAGGCCCATGAGAAAGCTTTGCCGGTAAAGATACTCGCTGCCAAGCCTGATAACCTGAGTTCAATCGATTCCTTGACTCTGTGGGTGGACGAAGAGACTTGGCTCCTCAAATTGTCCTGTGACATCCAGACATGTGCAGACACACATACAAATTAAAACTTAGTAAAACTTTAAATACTTGACACAATATAGTCCTGATCCTATAATAGTAACTCCCATGTTTTAACTGCTACCTGTCGTGGGTATCGCAGTGCGGATGTGTGGGTTCATGCGGGTCGGTGAAATGAAGACTCCGCGACCCTTTGAGAATGAACTTAATCTTTGCAGCCGCAGGGACTTGCAGCCGCAGGGACCTCCAGTCTCCATGGACTGAAGCCCTTTCCCTTAGCTCTGTGTTTACACTTTAGCCAGTAGATTTTCATATGCTCAAAACAATCTGAATGCAGCTTCCAAAAATACGCTGCCAAGTGCAAATACCTGATTCATGAGGTATACCACGATTTTCTGGGTTTTCCTCAACCAAGTTTTGCGTCAGCTCTGTATCCATGGGAAACTCTCAGACAAGATTTGCATAGGGCGTTTTTGATCTTAGCCATTCTGACTGGTGTAAGATGGTATCACAGAGTCGTTTTGATTTGCACACCCTGATGGCTAAGGATGTTGAACATTTCCTTAAGTATCTTTTGGCCGTTTGAGATTCTTCTGTTGAGAATTCTCTGTTTAGATCTGTACCCCATTTTTTTTAATTGGATTATTTAGAATTTTGATTTCTAATTTCTTGAGTTCTTTGTACATTTTGGAGCGCAGTCCTCTGTCTGATGTGGGGTTGGTGAAGATCTTTTCCCATTCAGTAGGCTGCCTTATTGTCTTATTGACTGTGTCCTTTGCTTTACAGAAGCTTCTCAGTTTCAGGAGGTCCCATTTATTGTTGCTCTCAGTGTCTGTCTTACTAATGTTATATTTAGGAAGTAGTCTCCTGTGCCCATGCATTCAACGCTACTTCCCACTTTCTCTTCTATCAGGTTCATTGTGGCTGGATTTATTTACATTGAGGTCTTTAATCCATTTGGACTTGAGTTTTGTGCATGGCGATAGATATGGGTCTATTTGCATTCTTCAGCATGTTGATATCCAGTTATGCCAGCACCATTTGTTGAAGATGCTTTCTTTTTACATTGTATAATTTTAGCCTTCTTTGTCAAAAGTCAGGTGTTTATGGTATATGGATTAATATCCAGGTCTTCGATTTGATTCCATTGGTCAGCCATTCTGTTTTTATGCCAATACCAAGCTGTTTTAATTACTGTAGCTCTAAAATAGAGCTTGATGTCAGGGATGGTGATGCTTCTGAAAGTTCCTTTATTGTGCAGGATTGTTTTGGCTATCCTGGGTTTTTTGTTTTTCCATATGAAGTTGATTATTGTTCTTTTAAGGTCTGTGAAGAATTGTGTTGGGGTTTTGATGGTTATCGCATTGAATCTATAGATTAATTTTGTTAGGATTACAACATCAATGATAGCTTATGCTGGAGAGGATGTGGAGTAATGTGAGCACTCCTCCATTGCTGGTGGGAATGCAAACTTGTACCACCACTCTGGAAATCAGTATGGTGGTTTCTCAGAAAATTGGGAATCTACCTACCTCAGGACCAGCAATATCACTCTTGGGCATATACCCAAAGGATACTCAATCATACTACAAGGACATTTGTTCAGCTATATTCATAGCAGCATTATTTGTAATAGCCAGAACCTGGAAACAACCCTAGATGCCCCTCAACTGAAGAATGGATAAAGAAAATGTGGTACATTTACATAATGGAGTACTTACTACTCAGTGGTAAAAAACAATGACATATTGAAATTTACATGCAAATGGAGGAACTAGAAAAAAGTCATTCTGAGTAGGTAACCCAGATCCAGAAAGGTGAACATGGCATGCACTCACTCATAAGTGGATGCTAGCTGTAGAGCAAAGGATAACGAGCCTATAGTCCACCACCCTGGAGTAGCTAAGTAACAAGGTGAACCCTAATAAAAACATATATAGATCCCCCAGGAAGGAGAAATAGACAAGATCTCCTGACAAAATTGGGGGGTGGGGAGGGGAGGGTAGAAGGGGAGGAGAAGGGGAGAAAGGGAGTGGGAGAACTTGAGGGAAAGGGATAGTCAAGATGGGGTAAGGACAGGGACGGAGAGCAAGGAAGAGATACTTTGATTGAGAGAACCATTATGGAGCTAGCAAGAAACCTGGCTCTAGAGAAACTCACAGGAATCCACAAGGATGACCACAGCTAAGGCCCTAAACAATAGTGGAGAGGGGGCCTGAACTGGCCTTGCCCTGTAGTCAGATTGGTGAATATCTTAAATGTCACCATAGAACCTTCATCCAGCAACTGATGGAAACAGAGGCAGAGATCCACAGCAGAGCACTGGGCTGAGCTTTCAAAGTTCAGTCGAAGAGTGGAAGGAGTGAGAATATGAGCAAAGAGGTCAAGGCCATGATGGGGACACCCACTGAAACAGCTTACCTGAACTAATGGGAGCTCACCAACTCTGGCTGGACAGGGAAGGAACCAGCATAGGACCAAACTAGATCCTCTGAATGTGGGTGACAGTTGTATGGCTGGGGCAGACTGAGGGGCCACTGGTAGTGGTACCAGGACTTATTCCTACTGCTTGTACTGGCTTTTTGGGAACCCATTCTCTTTGGATGGATACCTTGCTCAGCCTAGATATAGTACGAAGGGCTTTGGTCCTTCCTCAAAGCAATGCCTTATCCTCTCTAAGGACCACTCCTTAGTGGGGGTGGGGTGGGGTGGAAGGTGGAGGGCATGGGAGGAGAAGAGGGAGTGGGAATTGGGATTTATATGTAAAATGAAAAAAAGATAGTTTGTTTTCTTTTTTAAAAAAATTAAATTTAAAACAATCTCAAAAAGGAAAGAAAAAAAAGATTCACATAGGGCAACAAAAGGTATCTGTAACCCAAAGGATTGATTAGGGCTGGGTGTGACTCGTAGCTCCGCCACTTATGGCCCAGCGAGGGTTTATAGCTGGCAGGGGTTGCTTGCTATTCCTCTGACACCAGGCCAGCAGGACATTCTGACACAGCTACCTAGAGCTCCTTAAGTGATTTTCGCCTAATGAACAAACATTTACGGAGTGACTGCTTAATAGAAAGCACACTTTGACCGTGTCTTGGCCCAAAATTTGACACACCCTTTGCCAGTAACTCGAAGCGTGTGATAACGCCTGTTCATCGGGATAGTTAGATACTTCAAATTTAGTAAGAGCCTACTTTAAAGTCTCCAATATAATATCTGGTAGCTAGAGTAGACTCTCAGAAGTTACAGATGAAATAAATGATAGCAGCTATTAAGACAGAAGATGAAAATCTGATTGAAGACATATGGTCCCTGCTCTCAGCGTGACATAAGAGTAAGACATAGCAATTAGCACCTAAAGTGCCACATCCAGAGATCGGTACAGCTGCACTCAGGGGTTACAGGCAAGAGCAGAAAAAGTACCTAAGGTAGGGTAGGCTGTAGAGGGCTGCGTGCCCTGCCTGGGCACACACTTGGTAAGCGGTTCTCTGGTGACCACGTACATTTAGATGAGAGGATAGTAGGGTTCGAGCAATATCTATAGGGGAGCAGGAAGAGTCTGGACTAAGGCAGTTCCTGGGATTACAAAGTAGGCTAAAGAGGGGTTTACTGTGTGGAGCCTTGCCTTAGGGATCTGAGAAAATGCTGGCACTTATGCCCACCCTGATGTCCACAGCTATGGTGACAAACAGGCCTCCCTGCTGGAATAAGTAAGGAAGTGGAGTGGGGTGAGGTCAGATGACCTGTGGAGCTCCGGGTGGGAAGTTCAGAAGGAAGGCAGCATTCTCTCCACCCCACTACCTCCGAGGTTTTACATAGGCCAGCAGTATTTTCTGTATAGGCATGAATGCTTTCCCCACTTGTGAGCAGTGAGACAGCTATGGGACATTGGCACATAGGACAGTTATTGAAACATTTAATGTGTTCCAGGCACTGTGCCAAGAGCTTTCTGTATATTACTTTTTCTTTCTCTTTAAGACATTAAAAGAAACGACGACCTTCCCCATCTTCCAGCTTTCATAGCTGGACCTGTGAAATAAAGTGACAATGGACAAGTTAACAGACTGGGACATGGCCATATTGGTTTTAATATTACATCTATCGGAGATTTCATAGGAAAAGATTTTTTAAAAAAATTTATTACACAGGCTGGGTGGTAGTGGTGCATGCCTTTAATCCCAGCACTCTCAGAGTTTGAGGCTTAGCCTGGTCTACAGAGTGAGTTTCAGTATAGTCAGAGCTATACAGAGAAGCTCTGTCTGGAAAAAAAGCAAACCAACCCCAAAAAACTCGTTATTACAGGTTTTTTTTTGGGGTGGTCTCCATGGTGAAGGGTGAAGACTGTATGTGTCTGTGGTTGTATAAGGACAGGTGTTTATAGATTGTTGACAGGGGTTTTGCTGGGTTAGTACATTGCTGGTTGTAGATTCTCCTCCAATAGCCACAACTTCACTAGCACTGAGTACTTAGATTTCCAGTACCAAATAAGGAAGGGTTGGGGCTACTGAGATGGCTCAGTGGTTAAGAGTGCTGACTGCTCTTCCAGAGGACCCAGGTTTGATTTCTAACACCCACATTGTGGCTCATAACCCCATCTGTAACTCTAGCTCCAGGGAATCTAAAGCCCTTTTCTGACTTGCATGGGCACTAGGTATGTATATGGTACACAGACATATACATGAAGATAAAACATCCATGCAGATAAAAATAAACAAATAAGAAGACAGGTAAACAGATGCTAGATTAGATAGATAGATAGATAGATAGATAGATAGATAGATAGATAGATAGGTAGATAGATAGATAAATAGACAGAGACAAATGTTTACAGGGTCTGGACTTGCCGAGGACCCTGATTTGGTTCCCAGCACCCAACTGGTAGCTCACAGCCAACAGTTAACTTGAGTTAAGTGGCTTCCAACACCCTCTTCTGTCCTCCTTGGGCACGGGATGCGTGTGGTGCACAATACTTATGTACCGGAAAAACACTCATACACATAAGATAAATAAATCGATTACAGTGATTTATCCATGCGTGTGCCACACATGTGGAGGTCAGAGGGCAGCTTGTAGGAACTGACTCTCTTCTACCACATGGCTCTTCATGATGAAACCCAGGTCCTCTGGACTGGAGGCAAGTGCCTCCACCTACGGAGTCACCAGCTGACCTGGGAAATGTTTTATGTGGGATTTGAGCGCTTCCACACCATGTTAACGGGGGAAGAAGGGTAGAGGGAATGTAGGTCACTAAAGGGGGTGGGGGTCAGGGGGGGGCAGATGCTTTTGTGGCAAGATTCACAGGCTCTTAGAATAGATGGGAGCCATGAGGGGCTGTGACAAAGCTCGCCTCACGGTGGTGTCACCCTCTCTCTGCTCCTGTGCTAAGGGTCAATCTCCTCCAGTTGATGAAACTCCCGGGGAGGGGATTTCTAACAATCGAGTTCCTTTTGAAGGATCTGCCTCTCTGTAGATAAAAGCAGTTCGGAGAAAGCCTCCCCTTACATTTACTGTTTTTTTTTTTTTTCAAGTGCCTTCAACTCAAAACAATCAATATCCCCAAAAGCAGCCTACTTTGGAGGAACGGTGTGTCTAGAACATCTTTAAAGAAAAACATACTTTCTGTTTATAGGTAGAGAAGTGAGGCTCAGAGAAAGCTTTACCTCCCCCAAGTCACATGGCAGAGGTGAGGTTCAAACCGAGTCCAGCTGGTTCCAAAGGACAATGTACTATCTCCGTGTAGGCAATAGTCCCTGTGGAGAAAAACTCTTAGAGCAACATGAGTCTATATACTTAGGTCCTCAGGACCAACAGCCCAGACCGCATTCTTGGCTCCTGGGTTGGTAAGGAACTAAAGAGCATATGTTTTCCCATCCCAATTAATACACTCATCGTGGTTGAGTCCCATCGAGTGGCTGCCATGACGACTGTTTTCTGCCATCGTGCTGATGTCGGTGTCCTCGCTGGCCATTATAGAGTTCAAGGCAGTGGCCATGTAGCATGGACTAGCGTGTCGTCTCTTCTGTCTGCCATCACAGGGGAAATGCCTTGCCCATCCGTCGGCTATAGACCAAAGGGCGAGCCTCCTCCTGGAAGTGACAGGCACCCACCACATCATCTTGTAAATTGGATGGATCTGACAAAAAATAGCTTCTGGAAAGTGAGCTGAGGACTTGGTTTGTTCAGCAAGAATACCAGATTTTGAGACATTATTGCCTTCATTTGATGCATCCTTTGAGGTGTGGGCAGGTAGCCCAGTACAGAATGGCCTTGGGGGCAGACAGATTGGGTTTTTATTCCAGCTCTGTCACATGCCGTTATGTCATTTTGAGCAATGTAACCTCTTTAGTTACTTCCTCTGTAAAATGGAGATGAGAATTGCCTACTCCGGGGCTGTCAGGAGCTCTTACACAGGACCACGAAATCTGACGTTCCTCTGGCCACAGTGTTGTCTCAGCATCAAGCACCACATGGAAGTGACCAGCCAATAAGTCAGTGGCAGCAAGACATGGCTTTGATGGGCATTTACTTAACCATGTGGAGTATGTAATGTCTTACAGGCAGTCAGATTTTCCCTGGGAGCAGGGTAGGACAAAGCAGATGGTTGCCTTTCTAATACACATTCTTTGTCCACCGTTTGCTTTCTGCAGGCGGAGTTTGATGGGATCCTGAGAGAGGAGGCTGTGGCCGAAGCACTCAATGAGTTGGGGTGGTCGGGCCCTGGGACGGAGCAGGTCTACCTCAACCTGAATTTATCAGTGAGTATGACAGGGTCATTGCAGGGTGGCAACACGGACAGATGGCATTCGCCTTCTTTGGTACTCACAGCTTTTGTCGTGGCGGCAAACCTCGGGGCCTTGTGTTCGATGGAGATGCATGTGTAAGTGTTAGGCTTCAGGGAACCGCGGCCGTCCCCGTATCAGCTCCCCAAATTCCTTTGTCTTCATTTTCTCCACACTCGCTTTCATCCTGAGTAGTCTATATTATAGTAATCAATGCTTTCTTCAGGAGGTTGAGTTTGGATTTGTAAAACCAATCAAAAACCCTGTAAGAATTTTCCCTCTGATCGGCCAAAGCAGAGCTAAATTTCGTGTCTGAATTCCCCGGAACCAAGTATTCTGATAATCGATGTTTCTCTCATATCGAGAAATGAGTAGCTCTGAGCTGTCCTTTATTCTCATAGATGCCTGCCGTCAAAGCTGGAGAATCCATTGTTATTCTTCAGTCTTCAAGATTTCAGTCCTAGTCCCAGAGCAGCACAGGATCGGGCTCAGCTTTGACGGCGTGGGGCTGCAAGAGCCGGCCACCCACAGTTCAGCTTCTCTGCTGCTCATAGTCCTAGAAAAATAATTTAACTCTTTTGGCCTCCATTTAAGAAAAAAAGATATCCAGGGGCTGGGGAGTTGGCTCAGCGGGTACAGTGCTTGCTGTGTAACACGAAGGCTGGGGTTCGGATCTCAGGCATGCTGGCACGGCAGCCTTGTCAAGATGGACGGGTGAGCGCCAGGTTCACTGAGAGAGGCGGCTTCAGTATAGCAGGTGAGGGGCAATTGAAGAAGACTCCTCCATAGGCTCATGTACACACACGCACGTGTACCGGTTGCACACATGTGTTCCCACACCTGTACAGATATACCCTCTATACGTACTTTTATTTTAAAAGCACATGGAAAATTTGCTACAGCTTCCTGACCTGGCTCACTCCTGACTGGGCTAATGCATTGCTAAAGTGTTCTGCCGTGGATTTGAACTATCCAGTGACTACTGAGGTGTTGTCCTCTGAGCTGGCTTCATAGCATGTCCTTCGGGGTCAGCATACCAAGCCCAGCTTTTCCCTCCCTGGCAGTAGCTAGCCTTCTGTAGAGGGCTCAGGCACTCAGCTGTGGCAGGAGTACCCTGTACACACAGCACTGTGTAAGACACTGAGAAAGTGTGATTCTAGCAGCCAGTTCTGCCGCGTCAAGGCCCATTGTAACCAATAGTCTACTTATGTATGTAGCGCCAGGCCTTAAATTGATCTGCCAAAAAAGCAATCCTTTAAATCTTATTTCAGCCAGAGGGATGGAGCTTAACTTATTTTGCCCCTGACCTCCGTACTGTTGAGATATTACATGCTGAATTACTTGGCCACAATAAACTGTCTGAGTACACTTACTGGTTCAGTGATTTCCCCCCTCCTCATATCTTACTTAGGCTACACATACTATTATTATTATGTAATTATATATTATATGTAATATATAATATGCGTCACCCAATAGTATTATATATTAATATTGTTATATAATTATGTATAATATATAATATCATTGTATATAATAATTATATAATGATTATTATTGTTTATTTGACTTCCTCTAATTACTTGTATACACATCTCCTCCCCTGCCCAAGTCCTAAATTCTTAAAGGCACACTAGAACTCAGCCCCTCCCTGTCTCCTCACTAGGCACAATGATGCACACAGTAGGCACTCAGGACTGACCTGTCTCTGGCAGCAGCCTCCCTTAAACAGCCATCACTCCCCGACGTGAGAACTTGCTGTCAAAAGGCTTTTTTTTTTATTAGTCGCCTTTGGCTTTGTTGTCTGCCCGCGACAGAATGACATATGCCACCAGCAGAAGTCGTCATCCCGTGGGTTCAGATTCCCTCCCAGCTCCACCAGAACTTCCCATGACTACCTTGCTGGCATGAACTTTGGACAGAGCCTCAGCAGAGCTGGAGACTGCGACTCCCAAGCTGCTTTGCGGCTTCAGGCTTGGCCACACCCCTCTCTGTGTTTCCCCCTGTCTGCTCTGCTGCTGTTGGATCTGCTGGGATCGCTGTGTGGGTTAACAGTCTCCTGGTGACCTGTGGCATATTCCTAAAACGTCACTTACACTTACATGCTCGGCACTGGCTTCTCTTTGGCGAGATGAAAACGTGGTCTTTACAGCTGTACTTTATTTCATTTCAGACTGTTCTAAAGGCTCCCGTGAACACCGCTGTCCTTTACCTTTTCATGTGGTGTGTCCTTGCTGCTAACACTAATTCCTTAGGCTAATAATTTCTTTCTTCTTCTATTGGAGACAGGGTTTGACTGTGCAGCCCTGGCCAGCCTCAGACTCACAGAGATTCACTTGCCTCTACCTTGATTAAAAGCATGTGCTACCACGCCCAACTGACTAGAATTTCTTCAGAAGGAATACATTTTTTTGGTGGGGTTTTGAGATCTCATTAGTAGCAGGCCTTAGAGTTTATTCTCTCGCTTCTATCCTTCGGAAGAAACTCTGGCTTTCTTTCCGGTGGTGTTGTTTCTAGCTGTTGCGGGAAGGCTCCCATGAACGCGGTAAAAGCCATATTAAAGCCTTCCCCCTTTCCTTCCTCTCAGCACTGCGATTTAATCGACATCAGCATTCTGTGTAACTATGTTCACCTACAGAAGTTGAATCTTTCAGCGAACAAAATCGAAGGTACGTGATTGTCAGTCAAGAGGATTGATCACTGAAGTAGTGCGAAAATTTACCATCTACAGAATTTAATGTGTTTTTATAATACTGAGCTTGATAAAAGTGATTTGTAGATAATTTAAATATTGACTTATTGCTTTCTTTGGAGAAAGAGAGCAATAGAATGGGAGGGAGAGAGAGAGAGAGAGAGAGAGAGAGAGAGAGAGAGAGAGAGAGAGGACAATGATCTACAAAGGAAGAGCAGACAGGTAGGCCTTCAGTGTTTCGACACAGTTGGGGTGCACCCAGGGAGCCCCACAGGAGTTGGTATCCCTTCAGTACCCGCAGAATGTTTGATGACACCCTTTTCTTCAGCTGGCTATTTAGCTCAGATGAATTAGCCACCCCGCCCTCTCGTGGACACTTTATTTGGCTTTTACACTTCCATTTCATCCTGGCTAGCTCCCTCTATTATCGGTTAAGCCCCAGGGCTTCCTGGTGTCAGCCCTAGCCCCTCTCTGTCGGTTTAGCTGACTCTTCTGACCACACCATCTGACTGTGTTTGCCATTACACCTTCCTTCCTTCACACTTAATGAACATAGTTCTGAAATCGTCATATTTTCTTTAAAGTCTGGTCCTTGTTTTGAATTTTCAGATCTTATTTGATTTTAACACTATATATCTTTTCCTTTAGACTTCTAGAGACACAAGCAAATACTTATTTCTGATCTTTCTCTTCCGAGTGTCTTTTCTGCTTGCTGCTTTCAGCTGCCTTAGAGCAGACCTCATGGCTGCTGTTAATGGTCTCAATTTCGTTTTCCAGTTCCTCTCATCTGACTCTGATAATTAAAGGCCAGCCCCTGAGTGCAGACAAGCGTCAGATCCTACTCCAAATACCACTGTTGGAGAGACTGTGACATGCTTTTCCAAACTCATTTTAGAAAATAGCAAACACGAACAGAGAAAATTCTGGAATGAATACTGAGCAGTAATAGCTGGGGTCCCGTCTTGTTCTCTCTGCATCCCCGCCCTGTCCCTCTTCCTCCAAGTTACTTAAACCAAGGCTCAGATGTGTGGTGACCCGACCGCCAGGAAGGCATTTAGCTGTTACTGGCAGGACTGCTCTGCTTACCCCACCCCTACAAGGCTGATTGTGCTCTGCCCACCCCACCCCTGCAAGACTGATTGTGCTCTGCCCACCCCACCCCTGCAAGACTGATTGTGCTCTGCCCACCCCACCCCTGCAAGGCTGATTGTGCTCTGCCCACCCCACCCCTGCAAGGCTGATTGTGCTCTTCCCACTCCACCCCTACAAGTCTGATTGTGCTCTGCTCACCCCAGTCTCTGAGACTGATTTTTCACTCTTACTGAATAAGAAATTGCAGCCTCGTGGAAGGCTCTGCCGGTGCTCAATGCCAATAGCAAGAAGAGACCTAGCTGCATAGCCTGCCACTCAAGGCAGTCTCTATGCAGACCACACCTCCTTGATTCTTTATGACCCTCTCTATTGTGTGTATTGGTATGGCAGTATGTTTTTCTTTGGGGGATGTCAGCTTTACAGGGGTTCAGAGGTAGACCACATTTCAGTTTTCAACAGAATCACTTGTGTGTAGCGGGGGCTGTTCGTGCATAGATGGCTGAATCCCACCCTCAGAAGTGGGGTAAGGGCTGGTTTGAGGTAAGCAAGGATAAGGCTGATGCTGCTGGTCCAAAACCCTTAGTGAAGCCATAAGGTGTTCCTGCCATCTGGTGGACAAAGAGGTTACTGCACCAAGGAGTGACCGTGGAAGTCAGCACTGTCACAGTGATTTTTTTTTTAAAAAGATTTATTTATTATGTATTCAGTGTTATGCCTGCATGTGTCCCTGCAGGCCAGAAGAGGGCACCAAATCTCATTACAGATGGTTGTGAGCACATGTGGCTGCTGGGAATCGAACCCAGGACCTCTGGAAGAGCAGGCAAAGCTCTTAACCATTGAGCCATCTCCCCAGCCCTGTCACAGTGATTTTTAAAGCCCCAGCTATGTACAGAGTATGAGGTGTTGTTACCACCTCATTGTATCGGTCTAAATATTAGCTGATGCCTCTCCTTTAAAACAAATACCCATGCGGTTGGCATTAAAGATGAACCCCAGCAGGAGTTCAGGGACTCAGTGGAGATGAATAGAATTGAGAGCCGTTTTAACAGCCATGCAGCCATGCAGAGCGGACAGACGCAGGCTCATAGGTGTAGACTGCTAAGCATCTGACGTCCCATAGGTTCCATCCCATGGCAGCCTGCCTTGACTGACCCATTGATTTCTACCGGAGTGGCAATATTCCAACGCACCCCCTCTTTCAGAGATGTTCACGGCTAGGCAATTGTTTAATCCACAGACCTGAAGTAGACGTTGCTGGGAATTATCTGGCTTCAGAGAGCCTTGCTCTGGCATACCAATTACTCTTCTGTTTCTGTGATAAAATTCTAAGGTCAAGGCAGTCTAGAAGAAAGAGTTTATTATGGTTATGGTTCCGGAGGATTAGAGCCCATAGTGGTGACGGCATGGCAGCAGATAGCAGGCATGGTGACCGCAGCTGGAAGCCGAGAGGACAGAGCGCGCATCTTGAACCTCAAACGGGAAGCAGAGGGAACTGGGAACAGTGTATGGCTTTTAAAACCTCAAAGCCTGCCCCCAGTGGCATACTTCCTACAAGCCATACCTCCTAAGCCCACCCAAACACTGCCACCAGCAAGCCCAGGATGACAGTGTCTCATCCAAACCATCACCAAATGCAAGATGGCACACTCTCTGCCAGCCCGGCCCAAGACACAGCTGTGTGCCACCTCCTCCCACTCTGCATTTGTCTGCACCACTTGGCATGGTCTCGCTTTGCCTGTGGTTGGCATGGCTGTCCTGGTTCTCTGTGTCCTCCAGAATGAGAGAGAAGGGGGGCGCTACCACCAGACCCCTTACAGGTGCTGAAAGGAACCACCTACAGCAAGAAGGCTGGAGAACCCCTGCCATGTGGATTCTTTCATCCCAATGCCCAGTGTGCATCTCCTGTAGAGAGAGGGAGACAATGGCAAACGCTGAGTCAGAATCACAGTTCGCATGGGATTCTGTGTGTGGTCTCCACTAGCACAGTGTTTTACTTAGCACCAAGTCTGGGAATCTCTTCTTAGGATAAAATGCAGAACTCAGATGAAATTTTGAGCCAGTCCAGAGTCAAATCGCAGTAACAAGAAAGGGATCTAAATCACCTCAAATAATTAATGGGATTTAGGATTAAGTCCAACTAAAACAAAATTGAATTAGCAACAGAGTCCCCTAATTGTGTTATTTTCAGTCTTCTGAAAAGGCCTAATTCAGTTATTTAGGAGCTGATTACCAAGAGGAGCATCTAATGCTTTAGCTTCGCATCCTCTTCTGGAAGGCTGGTGCTGTTGGAAGCACATGAAGTTGGCAGATTGTGGGAACATGAGTGGGGGTGCAAGAGGCTTCAGCCATGGGTTACTCAGACATCCTGGAAATAGAGGAGATGGAAGAAGTGGGCAGGGCCTGGGGGAGAAGGAGAACTTACTGCCTTATAGAGAGTTTTACACATTTTTTTTAAAAAAATGTAACATGAGGACCTGCTTGTTCGAGTTTCTGTCCTGCCCAGTTCCCACAGCCATTTAACCCCAAAGAAAACCACACAGAGGTCTCCATAATTTAGAAACTGATTGACCCATTAGCTCAGGCTTCTTATTAGCTCTTATAACTTATATTAACCCATTATTCTTATCTATGTTAGCCACATGGCTCGGTACCTTTTTCAGCAGGGCAGGTCACATCTTCCTTCTCCAGTGTCTGGGCGGGACTGCAGAAAGAGCTTCCTTCTTCCCAGAATATTCCTGTTCTCCTTGCCCCGCCTCTACTTCCTGTCTGGCTACTGACCGACCAATAGCATTTATTTAAAACATAATTGACAGAATACAGAATTGTCCCACACCAAATGAGTTTTTAAGTCAACTTATAATGTGTTGGATACTGTTACGACATTAGAACAAGGTGCGTTTTGTGGTTCCTCCACCCCTCGTCTCCCCCACCCTCCTCCTACACCCTGCTCTCCTCTGTTCTACACGTTAAAGAGTACTTCACACATCCTTCATTTTTATTAATTTGACTCAGCTGAAATATTTGAGATGCGCTTGCAATGGGCATAATTCAAAGTTATTCTAATTTGGCCAGGTGTGGTAGCACCTTTAATCCCAGCACTTGGGAGACAGAAAGCCAGTGAATCTAAGTTCTAGACCAGCCTGGCCTACATAGCAAATTCCAGGCCAACCAGGACTGAACAATGCGATTGTGTCTGGAAAAAAAAAAGTGTGTTCTGATATAACATGCTTAATGATTTTTTTCTAGTATCTTGTTGATTCACCTTTTCTGCTCCCAGATTTGTCTTGTGTGAGCTGCATGCCGTATCTTCTGGAACTAAATGCTTCTCAGAACAGGCTGACTACCTTCTTCAATTTCAAGCCACCCAAAAATCTCAAGGTATACTTATCAATACTCTAATAACTCACGGTAAGGGCTTGCCACTTAAACAAGCAAGAGAGAACTAATAGAGAAGTCAGGGGGATAGCTTCCAGTGTGAGTCAGGGGGGATGGGTTCCAGTGTGAGTCAGGGGGGATGGGTTCCAGTGTGAGTCAGGGGGGATGGGTTCCAGTGTGAGTCAGGGGGATAGCTTCCAGTGCAGGTTTCTGAACTGAAATACAGACAAGTGTGTCACCGAGATGCTCTGTCAGCATATGGTCCTTGAGAGCGCTTTGCTGAAACCTCACATTTAAGGAACCAGCTTCCTTCTGTCCTCTTGGCCATATTTATGTCATTTTCTTAGATTAAAAAGAAGATTTTAATTGATTGCTATTTCTTTGGGCTGGGGCGATAGGTCTTTCCGTGCAGTCCAGGCTGGCCTCAAACTCCTGCCCTTCCTGCGTTTGCCTCCTGAGTGCTGCAGGTCCAGACATGTGCCGCCACGCGCAGCCCCTTTGCCCTTGTAGTAATGGCTCTTGTGTCTCTTTTGTTATAGCAGCGTGGTTCTAGCTGAAACAGTGGTAAAGCGTTTCCTGGGTGCAGACTTTGTCCTCTCCCTTATCCAACCTTTGCTTTTAAAGAAACTAGTATTTTTTATATTCATTACCTGGCTCTGCCCAGATGGTAACTGTGGCTGAGCAGTGCAGGCTCTTTCAGTGCTCCTGTCTGGAAGCGTTTGTCCCTCTTAGTGTCTGCCAGCAGCATGGCACAAGCGGGAGCAGCGGCAGGTAGCCCCCTCGGCTGCTGAGCTCCTGCAAGCCTGTGTATCTGACCCTTGTGCAGCCTGGGAAGTTGGAGCTCCACAGTCTTTGGCAGTAGCTGGCAGCATCCATTAGGTAAGGCCTGGATAGCAGGATTCCAGCCTTTGAGAGTGACTCGCGTTAGAGTTCCAGGGCCTTCAGCATCTGACTCCGGACTGAAGACTCAGCAGCACTCTAAAATTTGTCAGCGACAGTGGCCAGAATCTCCCCTCCCCAGCACATCGTCTCCTCTAGTTTCTCTGTCACCCTATTCCTGCGCTTGTCATTCTCTCCAACTGCCCAGCCGCCTCCTCTTCAGCTACCAAGGAGCCACCTTTGTAACCTGGCTCGTTAGCTGCGCAGCTGTTGCGACTGCTGTCACGTTGATGCCCCAGCCGGCACTGCTGCTGCTTTCTCCCATGTCACCAGCTCGCCCCACGCTACCAGAGCAGGCAGAAACAAAAGCCGTCCCAGAGAAGCCTTTTGTGGGGCCTGCTGCTGGGAAAACCATGGCCTGAGCATAGGTAAAGTCTCCCAGGCAGCTTGTCCTGGGAACCTGAGCCTCCGCTTATAGAAGCAGAGAAGGCATGTTGGGCCAGTCGGGGCCCATCTTGCACGTAAATGAAGGCTTATGTTTTTACCGATAAACAGCTTTCTACTTTCCCTCTGGTTAGAACAGCCTCTCAGCTAGGTCATCAGGGACGCGGGCCCCCTCGTTCACAGAAACTTTGTGCCCCAAAAAAGTCTGATGCAAAAGTGAAACAGCCCTGGAGGAGGCTGCGCCTTCAGGAACTAGAGCATCCAGTTGTGACTGTTAGGTAGTTTTTGCAAGGTTTCTATGGGATGCTCAAAATGACTGGCGCTGGCATAGGTGTAGACTGGTCCTTTAGACGGCTTGCTCCATTCCTTTCCAGGCTCTGTCAGCTCGGTCTTACTGACCACGTAATCCCCGTCCCACCCCTATTATGTTTGTAACAGCCTTCACCAGTTGTCTACTCCTGCCTTACGGTTCCTTCTAGGACTTAGTGTAGGGAAGTATCATCTTAGTAAGTTTGGGGACTGCAATCGCTGTTTCAAAGGGCACAGGAGGGACAGTGTTTATTCAGCATCTTCTCGACCACCTTCTGGAGTGAGGTTACAGCACCCTCATCAAGTGCCCAATATAGTGTTCCAAAACCTTGAGTTTTCTTACTTTTTTTTAAAAAAGGATTTTTCCCCAGTAGATGAATTAAGCAAAGCTCTTTATTTAATCAGTTAGGTTTTTTGTTTGCTTGTTTCTGTTTTACTCTCATTGCAGAGTAGGGTAGACAGACGTTGCTGAAAATGCCTGTCTAAATGAGTCAATTTTGAGAAAGGGTACTGTGGTAGTTTGAATGCGGTTGGCCCTCATAATCTCGTAGGGAGTGGCACTCTTAGCAGGTGTGGCTCTGTTGGAGTGGATTTGACCTTATTGGAGGAAGCGTGCCCCTGTGGGGAGGGGCTTTGAGGATTCCTGTGCTCAGGACACTGCCCAGTGTCTCAGTTGACTTCCCGTGGTCTGTCTGATGGAGCGCTCTCAGCTCCAGCACCACGTCTGCCCGCCTGCACACCGCCATGCTCCCCTTCATGATCATAATGGGCTGAACCTCTGAAACCAAGTGAGCCGCCCTCGTTTAGCAAAATCCCAAACTAAGGCAGATACAACTGAAGCTGCGCAGCCTGAGGGATAAAGAAGGACTGTCCTGGCGGCGAGGGGCGGCGTGTGAGACTCTCTGGAGAACAGAACAATCAGATGCACACCCGAGTGAAGCTAGTGTGGTCTGTTGGGCGTTAGAAGAAAAAGGAAGCATGGTGATATAGGTGAAACTGAAGTGGATCCTGAAGGAGGTCAGGAGCCTTAAAATAACCACTGAACACTTGAGAGTTGGCAGGGCGTGGTGGCACACGCCTTCAATCCCAGCAGATCTCTGCAGGTTTGAGCCAGCCTCATCTATAAGAATTTCAGGGCAGCCTTGGCTGCATAGTGAATGAGACCTTGGAGGGGAAGAAGGGTGGAAAAGGAGGAGCCCTCTCTCGGGGTGGTGACAAGAGCATCCCGGCGAGAAAAGGCGGAGAGAGATGCCTGGTTTGGCTGCAGAGCCCCTACAGCCATCAGTACTAAGTCTGGGTCCAGAGCCTGTCTTCTGGTTTTGCTGTTAAACACTAGCAAGCCTGAAAGAAAGCAACGTGTAACGTATGTTCTCCTTTTGTCACCAGAAGGTGGATTTTTCCTCCAACCAGATTATGGAAATGTGTGACCTGTCGGCATACAACACTCTGACTCAACTCATTTTGGACCGTATCCTTTGGATGCCGGGAAGGGGAGGCTGTGGGGACTTGCTCCACTGGAGAGGGTGTTCCACTCCAAACAAAGTGGTATCAGACAAGTGATTGCCCTGAAGTGTGTGGCTCGTGTAACTGAATAAGAACCAGTAGTCATAAAACACGGAAAGAGATTTGCTTACCAAGGACCCATTCTACAGGCCAAAGCTTACCATGGCCTTCTGACCCCAGCAAGCAGAGAAGGACGGTCCTTGACATGAATGTTAAGCTTGTTTCTTGATTATAGGCCTAGGGAAGTTCTGTTAAATGAACATGTATCTTCAAATTTATTTAAAATTTTGCCTTATTTTTTTTTATACAAATTGAGAGTCTGAAAAACCTAGATTTGTCATGAGGAAAATTGGTAGGAGTTCATATTGCTGCCTTTATGTTTTTTTTTTTTTTTGAGACAGTGTTTCTCTGTGGCTTTGGAGCCTGTTCTGGAACTAGCTCTGTAGACCAGGCTGGTCTCGAACTCACAGAGATCTGCCTGCCTCTGCCTCCCAAGTGCTGGGATTAAAGGCGTGCGCCACCACCACCCAGCCATATTGCTGCCTTTAAATAAAGCAAGGCATTCTAGTATGTTAATTATTTATTTTGTTGGGGTATTCAAACCTGGGATCTCACAATGCTTGGTAAGTGCTCTACCCCAGACCCTATAGCTCCAGCTAAAATGTATTTAAATGAAAACAAAAGAAAGGCCCAGTTTTTGATTGCCTCCAGGAACATACATGTATGCATTGCATGAACTACGCTCCCGTGCAAGCAATGCCGACTTCCACTTGTGGAGCCTGAGCCTAAAAGGTTAACTCAAGATCTTCGTGTCTAATGAGCTTGAATCTCTTCTTTACACCAGAGACTGGTGTTCTCTGGGTAATAAGCCAGCAGGGCTCTCTGTTGCTCAGCAGGTGTCTTTCTCCCCCCTTGAGAATTTGGGGAGCAGAACGGTGCATGGGTTGACTTCCCCTGAGTGTCTCATTCCAGGGATGAGGCAGCGGCCTTGTTTGTAGTAAGTCTGAGGTTTGCAGAGGTGGTGATCCGGGAGGCAGATTTTGTAGAGAAAGTCTCTACTCATGAGGAATGCTCAAACCCGTCCCCACTCCCTTTCACCACTCATCGATGAAATAAGCAAGCAGCAAGTGAGCTGTTAGGTGGGGCTCATGAGTATCTCAACAGAGGCATCAGATCACAATGTCAACAAAATGTTTCCACAGCAGATCAGAGGCACACACATACGCAACACCTTCCTATAGAACCTTGGCTTTATGCTTGACCATGGTATGTAATGAATGTTCAGAGAGAGAGAGAGAATAGAGAGAGAGGAGGGGGGGGAGAGAGAGAGAGAGAGAGAGAGAGAGAGAGAGAGAGAGAGAGAGAGAGAGAGAGAGAGAACTCAGAAGCCACCTGGCTTGGAAATCCACTTGCCTCTGACCATGTGGGAGAATGCTGCCCAGAGGGACTAGCATAGAACCTGTAGAAATTTAGATCCTTTTGTTCTGCCCAAGGCCTATTTGAACCAAGTATCTGGACAATTGGAGTGTAGGTTAAAGCTAAGAAACTGGCTATATTCTAAAGCCCTGCCTGTCAGAGGGGCTCGGCACTCAGAGGCCCTGCCTGTGCCTCAGGGTACCCGGAGAGCAGAACGGAGCTGGATATGGAGAACTTTTGCTCTGGAAAGATACTTCAGTGTGCAGCCCGGAATTGCCAGCGAAAACAACTCTCACGTATTGTAGAAGCAAAATATGGGATTTTGTTTAAAATATTGCTATCATGGGGGTTTTAAATTTTTTAAAATAAATTTAGCTTTCCATGTACAAAAGTAAAATATTAGAACTTTGTGACTGTCAAATAATGTAGTGATAAAGAATTAGGTTTTCTTTTTAAAATGTTGACGTTAGATGTAGCAGTTGAGTCTTATCACCGACATATAGAGAGTAATTATATCAAGACTTATGGAAATCCAGAGTCTGGGCATATAGGGTATATTATAGCATCTTTACCTGTATTTGAAAAACTGCAGAGGCAAATAGCCAAAACAAATGCTCTTCTTGAGTTATTAATGAAACAAAATTACAAGTAGTTTAATATCAGAAACTTTACAATTATAATTAATACTAACAGATTCAGGAAAATAAATCTTTTTTCCCTAAAAAAGAAACCTCAAGTGATATATAAAATTTAATGAAATCTAGTACTCTTTAATTTTTATCACATTTTATCATTTATTTTGTATGCATGCATGTTTGTGGGTGCACACAGCATGTGTCCACATGGAGGTCAGAGGACAACTTTTGGGAGTTAGTTTTCTCTCTTTCCACAATGTGGGTCTCAGGGATCCAACTTGGGCCACCAAGCTTGGTGCCTGGTGCCTTTGGGCATCTTCTCAGCTCCCAAATCCAGTACCCTTTCACAGTGCAACTCAGGAAACTAAAGTGTTTTCTCTGAGTATGTTCTCTACACAAGTATTTTAAGCACTCGAATCTAAAAATATCAGCTGCTGGGGAGCACATGGAGAGGATCTCTTTGGAACTTGTCTGTGCTCATGACATTGGCTCAACCACTTTGAGAAGACAGCCTTAAGTTCTCTGATAAAGGTGAGCGTCTACACTCACTATGACCTGGCGCTTCCGACTCCTACAGGAAGTCACACGTGCCAGGAGGCTTGCAGAGGGATGCTTATTGTGGTGTTGGCTGCAATGACAAAGAAATGAAAACACACCAATTGCTCATCAGTAGGAGATGTAAATAAGTTACGCTATTGTCTGGTCATAGCAAATGATATAGGAGCGTAAGATGGGTGAGATATACCAACGGGTTCGGCAGAGATGAATACTTAAGGTTTCTTAAGTCTTTGTTTTATTTTATGTTTGTGAATGTTCTGCCAGCATGTATGAATGTATGTGCACTTCATGTATGCCTGGTGCCCTGGGAGGTCAGAAAAGGGAATCAGATCCCCTGGAACTAGAGTAACAGATGTTTGTGAGCCTCTGTGTGAGTGCTGGGAATTGAACCTGGGTCCTCTGCAAGAGCAGCTCCTTTTAATCTATGAAACATCTCTCCATCCCAGAGATGAAATCTAATAAAAATAAATATAAACTAGGTATAAAGGGGAAAGACACAATTCAAGCATAGTATATATTTTTGAGAGGCAGACACAAAGATTGAACAGGAGGCGTGTGTGTGTGTGTGTGTCTGCGCGCACACACACATATGTATGCGTGTGTATGTGTTAGAACCGAAGCTCAGGATCTCATACATCTAGGCTACTGTTCTACAACAGAGCCAAACTCCTAGCTCCCTTATATAGCTTAAGAGTCTGTTCTATTCAAGAATTAAAAACTGAATTTCTTTTCATATAAATATATATATTGTGTGTGCACATGTGCAAATGTGTGTGCATCCACACATGCTTGCTTTTCTGTATGTGTACATGTGTGCAGGTCCACAGAGGACAGAGGAGGGTGTTGTATGCCCCAGAACTGGAATTACAGGCAGTTGTGAGCTGCCTCATGTGGGTGCTGGGAGCCAAACTCGGGTCCTCTGCAAGAGCAGTACATATTCTTAACCGCTGAGCCATCTCTCCAGTCCCAAACTGGGGAAAGTCTTAATTGAGTCTTTTGAAAATAAACCAATTATGCTTGTAATATAAAATGATTATAGTAGATTATATTAATATCTTGAACTACATTGTTAACTATAAGGAATCAATTTTTTAGTTTATCATATTAGATTATTTTATCTTTCCCTGTGTAGATAATTGATGATTACTTGATAATCATCCTGAATTACAAGGTGAGAAATTTAGTCAAGGTTAAGTAGATTTGCTTATTATTAAGTAAAGATGTAGTTTATTCTCTACCTTACAAGTATTGATGGGTCGTTAATAAATTGAAAACATGATTCATAGGATTTGAGAGGCCATCCAGCGTATTTTATGGTAAAGGAGCTGGAGACCCAGGGAAGGTCAACTTGTTGGAGCTCTCTGGAAAATCACTCTGAAGTTACCATTCTGAATCCTATTACTTTGCCCATGCTATAATCTACTGAGTGATTACTGTTTTAATAACACTGCTGTTTGAGCTATATGCATATTTCCTTTCCCCTTAACATTCACTTCTGTGGCAGAGACCACCTTCTAAGGTGGTAGAGATCTCTTAGGATTGACTGTGGTTAAAGCCACCCTCATGACTCTCCACTAAGAGAATCCTGATGGATTTCGGCCTCAGTTCTCAGTTACTGTTTTCTGTACACCCAAACCATGTTTTATGATTGTAGACAAATGAATAAGAGCAAATGCCGAACTGGTGAATAATTCACGCCGAGCATTTATGAACTGCTGACAGCAATGCCGGAATGTAAAAATATATTCTTGGGTTCCCCAGGCCCCAGTCATAAAGCTATGCTTAAGTGCCACAGGGTTCCTTCACTTGGCTTCCATAACAATCTAAAATCCCACTGTCAATGATTTATTCACAAAAATGGTAAAACTTCAGAGCTGGAAAGCAACGCTGCGATTGCGAGTTCTTGGAGGCTTTCTCCTGATAGCCCTCCTTTAATATTATAATGCCCCTAAGAGGATTAATGCAGTAAGCTAATTCATCGAAATAGTTTAGTGATTTATCAGATTGTATTTCTTCTTATCAGAAAGTTCCCAGACCTCGGGAAGAATGCGAAATAATAATGTTAGGAGGAAGGGCAAGAAGCCCTCCATGAAGGATCTTAAAATAAGAAAACAGGAGATTAGAGGGTTGAAGGTATTCTGTTTGGGAAGTGTGGCTAGCTGGAACGGAGAGCTGCTCACAGCCAGGCGTACTGATTGTAATCAGCACCGCAGTGCTGTGTGACGTGACTGCAGGAATAAGGCGGGGAAGAGGCATGGCCATGTAAAGGGTGTGGTCATTCCTGGGAAGTGTATCCCAGGACTCCTCAGGTGTCCAAGCCATGGATGCTCAAATCCCTTGTATGTCATGAGATAGATGCGATGTCACCTGCTGTTATGACATGCTGTTGGGAATAATAACAAGGAAAAAGCCATATGACTTCGATACAGTTGTATGTTTTTTGCATCAAGCGTTTTCATCATGTGGTTGATTGGCTGAATAAAAGGGTGTAGAATCTATGCAGATGCAGGGCCAGCATAACTGGAGGTTTCTCTCCCACCTGCCAGCTTCCAAATAACCACTCCGAGGCTTACTATTTACTATAATGGTTTGGCCCATGGCTCGGGCTTCTTACTGGCTAACTTTATATATTTAAATTAACCCATTTCTATTAGTTTATATTTTACCGTGGGCTTGCTGTGGCTTGTTAGGTCACATCTTGTTTCTCTGGCAGCTGCTGGTGTTTTCCAGACTCGACCTTCTTTTTTTCCCTTTCCCTTTGCTTAGATTTCCCACCTGGCTCTATTCTGCCTCGCTGTTGGCCAAATAAGCTTCATTATTAACCAATGGCAGCAAAACATATTCACAACATACAGACGGGCATCCCACACCAGGCCAGCATATCCTTTACTTGTGAGCCCAAGTAACTTATGGTGCCTGAAAGTCCTTCAGTGTTAAGGGGAGTGAGACTTGGGAAGTGGGAGGAGACAGTAGGGAATGAGCAGTGGTCTCCACAGGGATGCTGGTTGAACTCAGGTTTTGCAGAACCCCTTGAGCAACCACAGTGGGATTGCCGTGGAGCCAGGGCCGTGGTTGCAATGAGGCGCCGCGTTTCTCCTTTCTCTCCTCCCAGTTCTCATTTCAGAAAACTTGGCAGTGACAGGGAGAGGAAGCTGGAGGAACCAGGGGAGTTGAGACAGCCTCTGGGGTCTTAGAAATAAGCGTTTCCAATCCCGCGTCACTGTCATGGCTAGGACTCCTGTGTTCCAGCTCCTGCCTCTTGCCTACTTCTGGCAGCTGCCCACTGCATCCGTTCACTCTGCTGTGATTCGGAGCATCTTCTTCTGGTTGGGATAGAGCTTCCAGGGCACTACTGTTTCTGTTAAACAGGGCTTAAACACTTTGTTCTCTCTGACACCGAGCAGATGGCTATTTGAAGTTTTCATGGCTTAGTTTTTGTTGCCAAAGATTGCTTGCTGCAAAGATATTTCATACACAGCTGTGTGAGATAATTTAATCTCTCATTTCCTATATTTCATGCGCATCTTTCATGATAGCCCATATCTACAAAGAGCTGGCCTTCATCTGTTTCCAAAACCATTGTTTAGCCAGCCTAGAGAAAATGGGATCTGAAAGACCGTGTTTGTGAATAAGTATCTGTTTGTAGGGCTGTTTTGGCAGAGACCCTACTCATAGGAGATTTGAAATGGCATATTGACCGCCACAAAACTGTGTGTTTCTGCCCGTGGCTGGAATCTGGAACCAGTAAGAGAAGCCTAGAAATTTCTGCTACATTTGGTAACATTATCCGATTTTCTTATTTATCTCTATCCTTAGTCCAGCTCTTTTTGGATTCAGTCCCAGCCTTGATTCACGTTAGAGAATGTGACGCTTGGCCATGTGTCTGTAATGTAGTTATGAGAACCTTAGAGTTTTGAAGAATAGCTCATTCACACCCTTTTAAAAACAAACAAGTTCTCAGACAATTCCATGCATGTATATCATATTTTCTGGCTATTCTTATCCCCACCTTTTCTCATTTCCATTCCACTCCCGTCAGTACCCTCTCTCCCCAACATGTCCCTTCTTGACATTCATGTCTTTTTGTTTGACGACTCACTTAGTTTAGCAGGGCTGTCTGTGTGGTCATGGGCTTAAAACAACCTGCTGGAGCCAGTGAGTACACAACTCACTGAAAAGAGGGACCAACACTCCCCCATTCCCAAAATATATCAGTAGCCAGCAATTTAAGAGAGAGGGGTAGGGCTCTATGAGCCCCTTCTTCACCCTGACTGTTGACAAGGCCAGTCTTACGCAGCCCAGTGCAGGCTCAAAGAGCTACTGTGAGATCATAATTGTAATGGCTGTGTTATGGCCTGAAGACAATTCTGCAGCCCTTCTACTGTCTTCCAGCCCTCACTTTTCTACCTTTCCTCTTACACTTACCAAGCCCCAGAGGGGTGGTGTAAACATCCTTTCCAGGACTGCACACCCAACCATTGCTGACTTTCAACACCATGAGCAGCCACGAGGCTCCGTGTTTACAGTCATTCCCTGCAGAGAGGAGCTTCCCTCACTAAGACTGAACATTGTGTTTGTTTATGGGCATGAATGTGAACATTTTGAAGGAAGTTTGATTCCATGTCAAGTTAGCTAAACAATAACAGTTAAGTCCCCTGGAGCCTAACCATGGGTTTTCAATCAAGTGTTCATACCACACATGAATTCTCTCCTGTGAAGTGTGCCTCAAATAAAGAGACAGTTGGTTACCCCATAATCATCGTGCCATTATTGCTCCAGTATCACACCCAATTTTTATTTATTTTTCCCCATGTCTTAACTTCTAGCCTCATGCCAACTCGGTGTTATCACCATGTTACAAATGCAAACCTGATAGTGAAGGGTTGTGTAAACCAGATCGGGGTTTCGAATTTATCCTATTAAAATTTAAAAACGTTTCATTTATGTGTGTTTATGTATTTGTGTGGGTATGTGCACATGAGTGTAGATCCCACTGAAGGCACTGGATTTCCTGGTGCTTGACATTACAGGTGATTGTGAACTCTCTGATGTGGGGGCTGGCATCCAATCTCAGGTCACCTGCAAAAGCAGCACACACTTTTAACCAGTAAGCCACCACTCCCACCTACTCTGTGACAATTTTTTTTTTAAATTAGACAGAACATCCAATCAACATTTGAAATAATTAATCTGATTTTAGCACGCGAGGCACTTGAGGGCAGAAAGTAATGGTTGTAAAAGCAACCCATTGGTACTAAAGGGGAGTTAAGTTGGCAGTTGAGTGAAAACCAAGGACACCTAAAGACAGGTGTCAGAGCATCAGTATCCGGTCTTAGTGATTAACTAGATGCTGTAAAGAATGAGAGAAAATGGTGATCTTACAGCTACTTGGGAGGCAAAGCTGGGCCCTGGTGGAGCAGTGGCATTCATCCCTGGGAACTAGTCAGGCGGTTTGAGGATGGAAAAGGCCTAGCTGAACACTCAGCTTTGGAATTGCTGTCTGGACCAACTGCAAGCCTGGGACACGAGATAAACTTTAAAAATGTGATCGGTGAGAACAGAAACAGCAGATGGTGATATTAGAGCAGACTTCTAGCTTCCTGTATTTGAACGGGAGAAGAGAAGCCAATACCAGTGGGAAGAAAGGGCTGCTCCCTTCCCTGAGAGGGTGTTGGCCATCCAGCTGCGCCCATTTGCTGTTGAGACATGGCAAAGATGATCTGTCTATCTATCTATCATCTATCTATCTATCTATCTATCTATCTATCTATCTATCGTCTGTCTGTCTGTCTGTCTGTCTATCTATCTATCTATCTATCTATCTATCTATCATCTATCTATCTATCATCTATCTGTCTATCTATCTATCTATCTATCTATCTATCTATCATCTATCTGTCTGTCTATCTATCTATNACTGCTGTTTTTATTTTCTATGGTACTGTAATTTTTATGTACTTGCAGCCTAGCTCCAGTCATGCCATGGACACTGACAAAACTGTATCTGTGTTCTATACCATGGTCATCCCCATGTTGAACCCCCTGGTCTACAGTCTGAGGAACAAGGAAGTCAAGAGTGCATTCAGAAAGATTGTTTTTAGGGCAAAATAGCATTTACAATACTGATTTTACACATTTGAGGTGTGCAATACCTGGATTTATTTCTCTCACATGTTTTCCCATGGAATCAAGGAATTAGATTTAATTTGTTATCTATCTTCGATCTATCTCTATCTCTATCTATCTATCTATCTATCTATCTATCTATCTATCTATCTATCTATCTATCATCTATCTATCTATCTATCTATCTATCTATCTATCTATCTATCATCTATCATCTATCTATCCCTGTTCACATTGCCTCGGGGTGACCCTGCCTTCTATACTCCTGCTTGAAGGGAGCCACATGAGTTGCCCCATGGAGACCATTAACTAACCCAGAGGAACACCACCCACGAGACAGCTCTGAACTGATGTTTTCTTCCATAGTATTAAATGAGTCACATGTGGATACAAATCCTATGCCTTTAAAATTTTATAGAAGTGATGTTTTATCCTATATGAAAAACATAGAAGATTTAGGTAGGGCTCATCCTATATAGGGCATAAAATATTCATTTATTCGAACTCTTGTCTGATTTTCCAAGTAATAATTTAACACTGATTTTATGTTATATTTTTATTTTTTGAGGGTATGTATGTATGTATGTATGTGTGTGTGTGTGTCTGTGTTTCGCCAAGGTGCTTGTGTGAAGGTCAGAGGATCATTTTTAGGCATTGATCCTCTCCTTTCATCATGTGAGACCTAGGGATTGACATCAAGTAACTTTACCTGCTCAACCATCTCCCTGGCCCAGCACTGATGTGTGTGTGTGTGTGTGTGTGTGTGTGTAATGTTTCCAAAGACTCTGAATAACATTTTCCTTAAACATAGTTGTCATATACAGACAACGAGATAGAAGAAATCACTGGGTTAGAGAACTGCATCAGCCTGACCCACCTCAGTCTGGCTGACAACAAGATCACAACCATCAGCGGCTTGGGAACACTACCCATCAAAGTACTTTGTTTGGTGAGTCCAACAAGATGCCGTTCTTTATAGAAGTAGTGGCTATTGTTTAAGAAGTGCATGAATTATGACGACTTAGGATTTTTCTTTGCGCCTTATAGCGTCTGGTGTACACTCATGCCCCTGTGTGTGGGATCAAGAGTCCCTGCTCAAGTAAAGCCAGTTTCAAATTCCGTGTGCAGATTAAACATTTAGATAGTCAGTTTTCTAGTCTGTGGAAGAAAGTGTATTTCGACAAGTAGTTTTTAATATTATATATTTCTTTGGTGAAAATAACGGTTGAGCATAGTAAGCGTGCTCAAATTTATGCATGCAGATGTTTCCCAGGCGCTGAACTCAAGCAGCCCATCTATACAAGTGCATGCTGGTCTCCCAGTCTGGAAGTCATAAGCTGTGCAGAGAGGAAATGCGTAGTGCGGTCAGAAAGACTCCATCCGATTGCTGTTTTCCCAAGGACAGTGCCTTTTTGAAGTCCTGCGATATGCCATGTGACCAAAACGCAAATGAAAGCTGAGACTGTTGGCCAACAAGTCAGCAGGATCCCAATAGTCCCAAAGATGCACGCAATCTTTATAAATTAACAGTATGGGTCACTAGTGTGTGTGTGAGTGTGCTAATGCTCTGTGTACAGGATTCTTCCTTCTCTTCCCCTCCCTCCTAGCCTTAGATGGCTCTGTTGGCCTTTATCATACCCATCAGAGGGTGGGCAAGGAGCTTTTCAATGAGGCTTATGTCTTAATCATGTTTATGTCTCTCTCCCAGGAAGCTGTGTTAAATGACATATTGGGTTATGTGTACATTTTTAAAATTTGATTTTTTAAATTTAAAAACAAGACTTTTCATTTTACATACCAATCCCAGTTCCTCCTCTCTCTCCTTCTGCTACCCCCCGCCTTTCCCCCACCCCATTCCCCTCATTCCTCAGAGAGGGTAAGGCCTCCCAAGAGGAGTCAACAAAGTCTAGCACATCAAATTGAGGCTGGACCAAGGCCTTCCCCCCCATATCTAGACTGAGCAAGGTCTCCCTCCATAGGGGATGGGCTCCAAAAAGCCAGTTCATGCACTAGGGATAAATCCTGATGCCACTTGACAGTTCCTCACAGACTGTCACTCACATTCAGAGGGCCCAGTTCAGTCCTATGCGGGTTCTCCAGCTGTCGGTCCAGACTCAGTGAGCTCCCACCTGCATGCATACATTTTTTAACTTAAAAATTATTTTTTATTCTATGTCTTTGCCTACATGAATGTTTATGAAACATTTTCATGCCTGGTGCTCAGGGAGTCAAGGAGGTGGCACAGGATTCCCTAGGACTGGAGTTACAGACAGTCGTGAGCCACCATGTGGGACCTGGGGATTGAACCTGGAAAAGCAGCCAGTGCTCTTAACTACCGAGTCATTTCTCCAGCCCCACGTGCACATCTTTGTACATGCACATAGAAATTCCTTATTTAACCACAGATCACTGAGGTTTGGCTCTGTGACGATGTTTCTTCCTCTTATAGCTCAAAATACTTCTCGCCCTCCATGGAGTTCAGAGAGGGTGGAGGACCGGCCTTCCAGCGCCATTCAGAGAAAAGCTTCATGAATCCCCTGAGAGTTTATGTTTTCTGTGCTCAAGGAGTGACAAATATTACTAAAACAGTGCATTTTGCTTTCATCCTGTGTCTCGTTAATCACGTGACCTTTGCTGGCACTAGCATTCTTGCTATTTTTTTTCTGCCAATAAATGAGGTAAGTAGTTCTAGTTCCTGCACCCAGCACCCAAGACGGCCCAGAAAATACAGAATATGCCGTTACTCATTTTCACTGAAGTTCTGAGAGTTAGAAAGTTGCCTTTTCCAAATTTGAATAAAATTCATAACCCAAATGATGCACGTTTGCTTCAGCAGTTTTTATTGACTTCATTTTTAATTCATGGAATCAGAACATCATTTGGTTTTGTTATTGACAAGAATTCGGTGTACAGTACAGTAAGAAGAGCAAACCAACCGCTAATACTCTGCCTTCATCCTCTGTGGGAGATGTAAAAGATGGCTTGCTGGTGGGCCATTCTGTCCTTAGAACTGTGACAGCGTCGGGCAGTGACAAAGCTTGAACTTGTGGGAGGGAGGAAAGGCCAATTGGGTTCCCTGACAGACTGGCAGACGAGGAATGCTTCCTAATTAAATTTACTGCTCTAAAATTGCTCTTTCTGCTATTCACTGTGAAGCTGGAGGAGCCGTGTGCAGAAACTTCTTAAGTCCACATTCCCGAGCGGGCCTTTGGCTCTCCGTGCCCGACAAAGGCCCTGCCTGCCTGGCTTTCAGTCAGAGATTCCGTGATTCTCAGCTTCTCTCAGTCTGCCCTCTTTTACGACCATAGGCTATCCAATTAAACTTTTCTATGCCTCGCTCTGCTCAGACCATCTCCCACTCTGAAAGCCATCCGAGCCCCTGAAGAATACTACATCTGTCCAGCGTATAGAAAGTGCTTCACAGTCCTCCGGGGGAGAAGCGCACTGTATATAAATTTGATCTGTGGGCAGTGTTTGAATGGGAGATTGAGCCCTCATTTCAATACATTAAATTGATATGGATATGATGGTGAGCTCAGCAGGGTCTCTTTCCTATTACTTTTCACTTTTTATAACTTTTTTGAACTTTGAACAGGAAAATTTGATTTCACTTTGGCAAATAAGGTTATGAAGTTTTTTTTCTTTTTATTACATTTTTTTCAAATACATAGAAGTAAAAAGAATAGTATAATAAGCTCTCATGGGCTGTAACCCACCTTTAAAGGTTATTAACATTCTATTATGATATTTTAAGGAGCTATAGAATTATAGTAGTGAGCGCAAATCTAGTTCATTATTGAAAAAGGATGAAAATGGGTTTCTTGCTATTCAGTGTGCCAGTGAACATTACCGGCGAAAATATTCAAACGAAAGGGAATACAGCAATTTAAGTTTTCAGTTATTAAGTTATTCAAATATTAAGTTATATTGAAAGTTTTGAGTGATTTTATTTTATTTTATTTTATTTTATTTTTGAGACAGGCTCTCTCTGGGTAGCCCAAGCTGTCCTGGAACTCACTATGTAGACCAGGCTGGTCTTGAACTTACAGAGATCTGCCTGCCTCTGTATCACCATACCCAGCCTGAAAACTTTAAATGTCTTAGAGATAAGTAAGACATAATATTAACTCAAAATTTGAACTTTATGATACTTTTCGACTCAAACCGAAGGCTAAATTTTACTGTGATATTTTTCTGTTCCTTAAGGCAAAGGGGCTAAGGACTGCAGAGTATGTTGGAAAGTCCTCAAAAATGAAAATTATTGTTATTGCTATTATTGCCATGGATGTATGGAGACTGAGAAAGAGGACAACCATTTGAGTATGGGAACTTTCCCCTGTTATCAGTGTCTGAGAGATGCTTGTATGTGAACTATTGAAGAAGTAGGTGTGGTTATCATGATGTAGTAGGCTACCCAGTGGTAATGGCATTGAGGGAGTAACCATTGTTTTAACTAACAGTTGTGCACCCTGGACTGGATCGGAGGGCTGTTTCTTCTGCTGGGCTTGCTGGAATTGCTTTGATGGCTATTAGTCTCGGGGTATTGACTCATAGGTACCAGTCTGTTAGTCTCCTATTTAGTCTCAGGGTATTTTCCCCCGTGATTTGGGATTTCTGCTTGTCCAGGTGATGTTTCCATAGTAGGATGGCTGGACCATGGTATCTGTATCTAGAGCTCCTAGGATCTGAAAGCAGGCGTGACTTGGTCGTCTTGTATCTTAGAATTAGAATCAGTGCGTTTCTTTCATAGTCTTTGGTTAAGGGAGGTTTTATAGGCTAGCACAGGTTAAAGAGGAGGTACGACACAAGCGCGGACTCTACCAGCTCAACCATCAACAGACTTTGTGAGATGATGTCACTTGAGAATATTTCTGGAAACTGAGTATAGGTGGGAGTTACAGTGTGGGTTTACCGTGATGGCGCAGAAAGAGCGCATTCAGGCCATGACTTCGGAGACCAGCATGCAGCTGTACTGATGTTTAGGTTTCTGGGGTGTGGCCTTAGTGTCTTTTCCAGTTGCGCTGAGAAACCACTGCGACAAAAGCCACCTCCGTGGGAAAGCGTTTCTTCAGCTCACAGTTCTGGGCCGCGGTCCATCGTAGCAGGGGAACCACAGCCCAGGGGCCTGAGAGAGCATGGCTTAGGGATCCACAGAAGTCACGGAAGCAGAGAACAATGAGTGGAGCATGCTTGGGTGTGTTCAACTCCATGTCTTCAGTCTTATACAATTTAGAATCCTCTGCCTAGGGGATGGTGGTACCCACAGTGGGTGGGGCCTCCCGCCGCAGTCATTATAATCCATCTCAGGTATGCCCACAGCACAGCCCATCTCACCAATCCCTTGCTGAGATTCCCTTCTCAGGCAATATGTTTGTAGTAAAACTTAATGGAAAAATAAAGAGGTCACAGATTTGCTAGAGAGCAAGGGGGCGCATATGGGAGGGTTTGGAAGGAAGAGAGAAAAGAGGGGAAATGATATAATTATATTATAATCTCAAAAATAAATGTAGTAAGTTGAAAAATCAAAGGACTAACATCATAGCATACATTGTTAAAAGCTTATATTACTTAGTGTTTGACTATCTTACTGACTGGAAAGTTCATCCTGAAGATGAAAATATTAAAATTCTAATGAAAATACTATACCCCGACCTTTCAGGTGAAAAGCTAGGATTTTCTTCTTGGGTCTCTGTGTAGATGTTTAGATAGGCGAATGATGGAAATGGGGGTGGGAAAAGAACAACTTATTGTTTTCGTTTTTAAAGAATGTGGGGTCCTTGTAGACGAAGATTTCTTGCATCTTGCTTTAAAACACAAACTGTGTTTTATCCATTTCAGAGCAACAACCAGATTGAGAACATCACAGGTCTGGAGGAACTGAAAGCCTTGCAGAAGCTGGATCTCTCCTACAATCAGATCAGTAGCCTCCAGGGCTTGGAGAACCATGACCTCCTGGAAGTGATCAACCTAGAGGAGAACAAGGTGGATAACGTAGTGCGTGGCTTCTGTGGGCATTTAGGGAGTGGCTTCTGTGGGTAACGTAGGGCGTGGCTCCCATGGGTAACATAGGAGGTGGCTTCCGTGGGTAACATAGGGCATGGCTCCCGTGGGTAACATAGGGCGTGGCTCCCGTGGATAACATAGGGTGTGGCTTCTGTGGCTCTGTGAAGTGATCCTGTATTGGCTTTTCAAGGCTTACATGGAATGCCCTCTAGCAAACTTTCTGGGGCAGTTCTTAGAGTATGACTTTTTGGAAAAACACCACCATTTCTAAGCATTTGATGATTCTTAGTCACAGTATTTTAAAGGTTGAAATTGTCATCGTGTGTGTAATTTTCTGAGGTTGTGTTCACACAACATTTTCTGTAGAAAGAAAGTGTTCAGACAATTCAAAATGTCCAAGCAAGAAGAGACAAGAGAATATCCACAGGCAGATGTCTCCTCTTGCCTACATTCAGGAATTCAGACTATTGGTGGGAGAGGCATGGGGAAGATGCTGCTAAAAAGGATACAAAGCTTCAGCTAGAGGCTGGGCAGAGGGACGCTTCAGCTAGAGGCTAGGCAGAGGGATGCTTCAGCTAGAGGCTGGGCAGAGGGATGCTTCAGCTAGACGCTAGGCAGAGGGATGCTTCAGCTAGAGGCTGGGCAGAGGGATGCTTCAGTTAGAGGCTAGGCAGAGGGATGCTTCAGCTAGAGGCTAGGCAGAGGGATGCTTCAGCTAGAGGCTGGGCAGAGGGATGCTTCAGCTAGAGGCTGGGCAGAGGGATGCTTCAGCTAGACGCTAGGCAGAGGGATGCTTCAGCTAGAGGCTAGGCAGAGGGATGCTTCAGCTAGAGGCTAGGCAGAGGGATGCTTCAGCTAGACGCTAGGCAGAGGGATGCTTCAGTTAGAGGCTAGGCAGAGGGATGCTTCAGCTAGAGGCTAGGCAGAGGGATGCTTCAGTTAGAGGCTGGGCAGAGGGATGCTTCAGTTAGAGGTTGGGCAGAGGGAAGCTTCAGCTAGAGGCTGGGCAAAGGGATGCATTCTGAAATCTACTTAGGGGGGCTGGAGAGATGGCTCAGCGGTTAAGCGCACTGCCTGCTCTTCCAAAGGTCCTGAGTTCAATTCCCATCAACCACATGGTGGCTCACAACCATCTGTAATGAGATCTGGTGCCCTCTTCTGGCCTGTATACAGAATACTGAGAATACTGTGTACGTAATAAATAAATAAATCTTTTAAAAAAATAAAATCTATTTAGTACCACCAACTGCAGTTAACAATACAGTGTTTTGCATGTGTTTTGGAGTGGGGGAGGGTAGATGTTGAGACAGGGTGTCAGGTAGCCTAAGCTGGCCTTGAACTTGCTATGTAGCCAAAACCAGCCTTGAACATTGGTCCTCCTGCCTCTACCTCCAAAGTGCTAGAATTTATAGACATGAGCCACCACTAGTTAGCAATAGTGGTCTTGAAAAATGCTGAAAATGGTTTTTAATGTTCTTAACACAAAAACAATAGCCTTTAGGAAATAATAGATTATTAGCTATATTTAGCCTTTCTACAATATGTGTATATGTGTATGTATGTATATATATATATCATGTTGAACATGTTAAATATAAATATAAACAGTTGTATCTGTAATCTAATAAATGTAAATGCCACAAGAAAGGCTTAACCATAAAAATTAAGCAAAATGAACAGACATAGAAATGATTTCTTTTTTTTTTAAAAAATATTTATTTATTTATATAATACCCTGTCTGTGTGTATGCCTGCAGGCCAGAAGAGGGCACCAGACTCCTTTATAGATGGTTGTGAGCCACCATGTGGTCGCTGGGAACCGAACTCAGGACCTCTGGAAGAGCAGGCAACGCTCCCAACCTCTGAGCCATCTCTCCAGCCCTAGAAATGATTTCTTACATACTGCTATAGCAACAGTGTCTCTTCAATGGGTTGGGAAATGAATTTGTTTGCTTATCTGGCTCAATGTACCCTTTACTTTCAAAATTATATTCATATTCTCTTTCTCTCTTTTAAACTCCAAATTAATTAATTTAGTTAGTTGTCCCTCCCTTTCTTCTTTGTTTCCTGTTTTTTTTTTTCATTCTTCCTTCCTTGCACAGTACTGGGGCCTCTCACAAGCCCATGACTAAGCTATATTCCAAGGAACTTTTTCCCACCAAGCTTGCATTCTTCATTAGGTTGTAAACAAATCAACAAAAGTCAGTTACTACAGTCTAAGAATAAGCACAGTTGTAATCTTAGACAAGATTGATCTTCACCTCACTTTATCTCTTAACTGAGTTGATTTAGTGACTTCTTACAAGGTAAATGATTCTGTTAGATGACATTGGTCCATGTATCTTGTGTCGCAGGAAGACAGTACAATTTCTGTTCCAAATGGCTTTAGCGTCCTTTTTATGAATTGCCATTGAGGATTGACTTAAGAAATACTTTGTGTTTAACATGGCTGTCATATTTATATAGGGGATGTTTAGAAGGTAGAACAAGCTCATTAAATGCCAGCTCAGTACATCTAAGAATTTAAGAGAAGTAACAGCAGTGGTGATAAAACAGTTATAGTAGATGAGAACCTAGGGCCTTGCCTTCAGAAATGGGAGTGGAATTAGACTTGAGAACCCAAGCTGTAGACAGAGACCAGGCTTTTGTTTCCCAGCTGCCCAGACCTGGATAATCAAGCAGAAACTTTATTAATTACAACAGTGTTTCGCTTCTTAGCTCAGGCTTATTATAACTTAAATTATGTGATCCACGTAGCTTGGTACCTTTTCTCAGTGAGGCATTCTCATCTTGCTTCCTCTGCATCTAGCTGGTGACTGCATCTCTGCCTTTCCTCTTCCCAGCATTCTCTTAGTCTGGTTGCCCTGCCTATACTTCCTTCCTGGCTACTGGCCAATCCGCGTTTCATTAAACCAATATGAGTGACAAATCTATACGGTGTACAAGAGCATTATCCCACAGCAACAAGGCTTGGATGTGCCATGGGTGTAAAGTTACCAGCACTAATAAAAGGGAAAAAGAAAGGAGACGTTAACTTTAATAATATACATTATTTAACTAGGTAGCTCTGAAATGCAGTTTTAGCACATAATCTACATATGAAATTATTATTGAGCTATTTTGTCTCCTACTGTTTTATATCGGACTTTTGGCACTGGGTGTTTATGTTATAGTTGGGAGTACATCTCACTTCGTTTAGCCAGAATGCGGGTCCAAAGTCACACCACATAGAATATATCTCTCTCTTGCTTTTCAAGTCACTTTCTAAACTACACTGGAAAAGGGTGAAAGAAAAAGAGGTATGTTCAAATGAAGAAAGGCATTTATAATTTCCTAACGTTAGAGACTCTGTTCTGTAAAAAAGTGGACACTCGCCCTACAGGGCACTCCTTTGGCAAATCAGTCTTTGACAGTAGCATAATTCCCTGGTCCCCCACTGGGCATGGTGGGAGTAACTTACAATCCTTTGAAATGTTATTTGAACCCTCTGACGAGTCCCTAAGGGGTTTCTATAGGATGGTTGAGAATTTTTTTATTCAGGGGTGGAAAATTTATTTGTAAAGGGAGCACCACATAGGTATGCTGCTTCCTCTATGATTCAGTGCGATGTGAGGACTGTTTTCTCGGTAGCCATTTCCTCAGTGTTATTCTGTTTATACCTGTGTACATGCCTGCCCTTTGCCCATGTTTGCTGTCTGCTGGTTAGGGGACCCCTGCCATCTTCCACTCTGCGGTCCCTGTGACATTCTAAATCATGGCTAGCGCTTAAAGTTGACCCAAACTTTCAACGCCACCACAGCCTCTACACCCTCCCAGCTGTGGGATTCTTGTCAGGGCTAACTCAGGGAACACTAGGCTGCTTCTGAATCTTGGCGCTACACCTCCGAGTTTCTGTGTATCAGGAGGCCGTTGTTTTTCAAGACAAAGTTTGTCTGTGTAGCCCTGGCTGTTCTGGAACTTGCTTTGTAGGCTCAGCTTGCCTCAAGCTTACAGATTCACCTGCCTCTGGGATTAAAGGTGTGCACCACCAAGCCCAGCTAATACCTTAGAATTTATTATCAGCCCTTCTTGTCCATTTTTGCAAGGAGTCACAATACAGTACTCAAAACCACAGATGCGAGGAAAGAGCTTCACTTGTAGATAACTTCAGCACTCTGCTGAGCCAGTCTGGTCTTCTCCATCAGTTACGCTGCCTTGGACAGTCTCCCTCGACGTGGATGGAGGTGGCGACAGCGAGGCATTGTTTTCATAGATGGTGTGTGTTCTAAGGTAAAGGGTTTCTTGCTTCTCATTGTTCAGCAATAGACTCTTTTTAATGTCTCAGGCAAGCAATGAGAGGACATTACCACCGCCTTCTTGGATCCCAGTTCATGCTTTTGTCCTTGTGTATATAGTAACATAAAGAATTTGTGGGAATTTGACTGCTAAGTGAACTTGATCTCTCTTTGGGTTTCCACTTATTAGGCTTGAAAAGAGGAGCTTTGAGTATACGATCTGGGGGTCTCCTGTCTTATGCAGGGCCAATGCGGAAGCAGAGGCAGCTGGGTCTGGATTCGCGGAGATGTTGGTGTGGTCATATCACTGTTAAAGTCACTCTTCATTCTACTCCTGCCATTGGACACACGCAGGAAGGAGGTCCCTTGGGTGCTCTTGGTCTCTACATCCCAATAGGCCAGCCAGGGATAGGTAGCCTGAGCTGCTATCCAGCCCCCAAAGTAATAGAACTAGAAACTGCCCATGGTTCTCTGCAGAATGCCATGGTGTTCACTTGCAGCCTTGGTTCTTAAGCTGCTTCATTGCTTCTTCAGAACATTTGAGCTTCAGGCCAGGGCTGATATCACTTTCCCTATAGTCATGGCCCTTAATGCCTGCTCCAGAATGGCCAAGTTGGCCTATTTCTTGTTAACCTACTCCGTGGAGTTGGAGTAAGACTGCTAAAAAAGTCAAGGACTTGACTGAGATCATTAGGCGATCGGTAGAGGAAAGAAGACCTCATATGGTCAGTCCACATAACTTAGGGCAGAGACCAGTAGGCTTAGGGGTAAGCGTGGGGCCATGTGCTCTCTGGTTAGGGATTTGGGAGGTGGGGCGTCATCACTTTCTTTCTGTCTCCTTCCGGGGTTCTCCAGCAACTTCTCGGTGTATTCTTGAGCCTCCACACTGTCTTTCATCATTAGTACTTATTACTGTGCTATGGAATAATTCTTCTGTACACTGAACATTTGTTGCTTTCCTTGTTAATAAAAAGCTGATTGGCCAATAGCTAGGCAGGATTTTCAGGGCAGAGAGAATGCTGAGAAGAAGAAGGGCGGAGTCTGAGGAGTCTCTAGGCAGTCAGAAGAAGCAACATGGGAAGTTCATAGATGAGGTAAACAAGCCTTGGGGCAGCAATAGACTAATGGAAATGGGTTAATTTAAGTTGTAAGAGCTGGCTGGAGATAAGCCTAAGTTACCAGTCAAGCATTTATAAGTAGTATTAAGTCTCTGTGCATTTATTGGGGGAACTGGAAGTCCCAGTGAAAAGCTTCACCTATACCCAAGATTACAGCATGCCATATTTTATTCTTTATATCTTGAAGAATTATGTCCTGCCCCCTAGGAGTGGTTCTCAACCTGTGGGCCACGACCCCTTTGGGAGTCGAATGACCCTTTCACAGGAGTCACCCAAGATCATCAGGGAAACAGATGTTTACGTCATGATCCATAACAGTAGCAAAATAACAGTTACAAAGTAGCAACAAAAATAATTTTATGCTTGGTCACTGCAACATGAAGAGCTGTATTAAAGTGTCGGAGAACCACCCTTTAGGAAGGTTGGGAACCACCTCTCTAAGATGTTATCTTCTTGACCTTGGAGAGTTTATCTCTTCAGACTGTGCCAGGCTTGATTTATGGTTGGCACTCAAGAATATTGTTGGGGGAAAATATGACTCTCTAGAGTCCTCAGCCCCTCACCTCTGAAGGGTGTGGATGGTGTCTAAGGTGCAGTAAAATTCTGGGAAAACTGCGAGTGCCTGGCCCCCTCCTGGGTGAAGAAAGGTAAATGGGCAAGGTCAGCAGTTGTTTGAGTGGAGACTGTGAGGCTACAGTGAGTCAGAGGCAGTAAAGAGAGGAAGGTCCCAGAGGGGAGCCCTCTGAGGCAGAAATCGCGAGGCAGCATGGACTGTGGACTGAAGACGCTAGGTCTCTGTCAGGTGGCAGGGGTGACTGGATGGTAATGGTGCCAACCAGCACCATGGCGAGGCGTGACATTCATTTTCTCTAAATGTTGTAGGGGCAGGATCCCACTCCAGCATAGGGAACTGCACTATGTCGCCATCTCTCAGAAGGTAAATGCGGCCATGACGCAGCTTCTCGGAAGCTAATCCTGTGAGGTAGAAGGCCCACTAACCCTTCCCTGCCTCCCTTGTTTAGAAAAGGGTTTCTACAGGTGAAGTTAATGATCTCAACATGAGATCATGCTGGTATTAGGATGACCTGAAGGCCTGAGAGACAGAAGGGGAGAAAACAGGCACGGAGGCCAGGTTTATGTTGCTTTAAGTCAAGGCTGTCTGGCTTCACGAGAAGCTGGAAGAGGCAAGGAAGGATTCTCTTTTGGCACCTTCAGAGGAATCACCGCTTGCCAGCCTTTGATTGCACCCTCATCTTCAGAGCCGTAAGAATTAGCTCCTGCCGTTTTCAGCCTCCTAGTTTTGGGTTTGTCATGAGCCCTCCAAGGCTCGTATAGTGTGCTGCTGTATGTCTGTGGAATGGAGGGGAGGATGAGAGTTATTTTTAACACCAACCGCTTGTCTTTTCTGATTTTTGCGTTTTCATAAAATTTCCTTACCTTAATTTTAAAAATATTCTTATGAATTTTTTATTTCAAATTTTGGATTATTTTTTCATTATTTAGTCTTTAACTAGGACTTGCGTGTGCATGTGTGGGGAGCAGTGTTCAATAGGAATCGAATTCCTATATAGAAAACAAATAGTCCCAATATTTCAAAAATCTGATTTAATAGCATAAGATAATCTATTAATGGATATGTCAGGATTTATTGAATTATTTACTTATTGAAATTTGTTGTGTTTACAACCTGCTATTAAAATAATGTTGAAGTATATATATCCTCACACATAAATCTATTGTTTCATGCATTTTTTAAATCATTTCCTCATGATGGATTTTTGGAAATGCCATTACTGGGCATGAGTGTCATAAAGCTCATTCATGCTTACGTCTCCCACTGCAGTTATAAAGTTCGGATAACGTATTGTAGGCATCTCTGGCTCTTCATTTGTCAATACAATCATTTAAAAATTGCCAATCTGGAAGTATCAATTACCACACATACGATTTTCTAAAATGAGTACATAGTGTTCCAACTATAGGACAATGTTGTGACTCATTCAGTCACATAAGGATGGATAAAATTCTTAGGAAAAGGGGAACGTCTTTACTAACAGAATTAGACTGAATATTCTTGTATGTAATTTTGGCCTGTGTGACGATCTCTTGATCTCTTCACGTAAGTCTCGGGGAGTGGGATGGCTGGATACAATATAACTCGTCAGATTGCCCATTAGGAAGAAGGCACACTTTCCACTCTGACCGGCAGTCTGTAGGCGCTTAAGGCCAGGCCTTGTGGGTGAGACAAGGTGGATGCAAGAACAAGAACTGTGTGCCAGGCAGAAATCAAGCCCATTGCTCAGAAATTCTGATGGAAAAATACAAGCCAAGTTTACCGTCTACCTTCCTGAAAAAAAATCAATATAAAAACAATTTTATTTTTCTTATAGATGGTTCACATGTCAGTCTGAAGGACAATTTCATTATCTTATACGGGGAAAAGCTAATAAAATAGCTTGCTACTTCTCCAGCTAGCTTATTTTTTGTGCATGGGGGACACACACGGTATGCTGCAACTTTGGAGTTTGCCTTTCTGATGACAGTTTTGGAAATGGCATCCTGGACTGTGGTTAGTGTGTCTCACCACCCGACTTAGTTTTGGACTAATTTGCATTTTGGTGTCACTGGGGTTTGGATGACTTAGAAATTTTCTGTGAACCGCTTGGTAGAATGCTTTAATGAGACATGCAGAAATACTAATTTATTATAAAATCCACTATTGCCCCTGGACTAAGATTGATATCGTTTACTGTAGAAATCTTAAGCCTCTTTGCCATTAGAGTGGCGGAGAATGGAGGGCTGCTGCAACCCAGGCTACCCCTGGCTAAATCAAGCCACGTTTCGACCTGGGGAGCCACTTCTGGTTTTTCAAATTGCAAACTAGAGCCTGTGCACAGAAATGCTTAGTCAGCAGGCGCATCCGTGGACGCTCACCACAAATCGGTCACACAACTGAGGGCGGGCGGGGCGGGGTGGAGTGGGTGGCATGGCACACACCTTTAATGCCAGTGCTCAGGAGGCAGGGCCAGGAGGATCTCTGTGAGTTCAAGGCCAGGCTGGTCTACACTGAGAGTTCAAGGCCAGTGAGGGTTACGTGGAAGAGACCCTGTCTCAAAATAAACAAACAAATTATACAGTTTCTGCTGAGACGTAATCCTTATGGAAAAGGCGCAGAAGGCTGGCCTGTCTCCTACAGTGGAAGCCTTAGGCAGTCACAGACAGCAGAGGGAAGAAACTGGGTTGGGCGGAAAGTCTGAGCCTGGAGGGCTGGAACAAGGTGGCTGTTCTGTTTCTCTCACTTTACGAGCTATTTTAGTTCTACTCAGAATCAGCATGCATGAGGAGATTACTGTTCTCCAGGCTGAAGGAAAGGGAGAAGATGGGGTCCCGCGTGCTCTCATCTCCCGAGGTCATGCAGCAATTCCCGCCTCCTCCAATGACTTTAGAGCATTCTCCTTGACAAGCTGGGTATTCAACTGGACACATTTGAAATAAATTAGATTTAAAGGAACCAATTATATTGGCTCCCGTTATATTGTGTTCCCTATTGTCTTCACTGGCTGTTGATAATGGATTTATTTATTTTGATCAAATAGATTGAGGAGCTGAGTGAAATAGAATATATTGAAAATCTTCCTATCCTTCGAGTTCTCAATCTGCTAAAGAATCCAATTCAGGTGAGAGTTTATTTCCCTTGGGGAGGGGGAGGGGAAGGGAGCAAGGACCAGTCTTAGAGTTCCCGTTCAGCCCCGTGCTGTGATAGGGAGCTTCAGGGATGTGAGTGCAGCCCCCGCCTCTGGAAATCATTACAACAGCTACATGAACTAGCATTGTAAACCGCTTGTTTTAGAGAAGTGTGGTTGTCTTTCAGGGCTAACCATCTGTCAACTGCCCCAGTTCCTGTAAAGCCTGCAGTTGAAAGTCTCTTACCTGGCCCTTTAAGTCATGTGGTGGGTGGAGCTAAACGTTACAGCAGAGGATGAATAATAAGATTGTAAAGCAATGTTCTTGTCCTTTCATATTGGAGAATCAAGAGCCCAGGGGTCCAGACAGAATGTGGTTTCTGTTTTGTAACAGCAAAGGCAGTGTTAGCGTGGATGCCCAAAGTAATTTGCCTGAAGAGAGCCATGGAATCGGCATGGATATAAAACAACTATAGACTAAAATGACATAGTCCCTAGGGGTTTCTAACCACTGAGCTCTAAGGATCAGGGACAGTTTCCAGCTCCTCTTTTCCTCCATTGCTCATGCCCTTCTTCCTACCCCTTTCCTTCACTCGTTGTCCATCTTTGTTTGGTGTTTGTACCCACGGTCTCCCCTCTTGATTCCACAGAGTCCTAGCTAAGTCAGCTTCTCTTGTGTTCTCCTGGTTTACGTCTTGACGAGTATGTCTAGACAAATAAAATATCAAATCAGAAATAAAAAAAGAGATATTGAAAAATAAAAGCGGATAGAGAGGTGGGGGAGGGGGGACAGTGGTCAGCAAGGTAAAAGCCTCCCAGGGGAAGCAGTGAGGAGCGAGACTGAGTAGCCCCAAAGTCCCAGGCTCTGGCCCTCAGAGAGCGGTCTGTGCCTACAGGAACCCCTCCCGCCAGTGAATTCACCTATAAACAAACAGTCATAGCCCTTGCACTGTGAAGCGTGCAAGAGAAGCTTTACAAATGCACCAGTTGGTGCATGATAATCATCCAGGGATCGGGGCCTGGCAGCTCCCTCCTACATACAACACGGAGTGACTCGTCAGGGTAACTAGCAGTCTGTCTCCTGTGTCTCTGTGTGGGGACCCTAAGGAATGATCCTGTTCTGGATACTTCTCTTGCATTCCCATCCGTGAAAGGCATCTTCCACCTGTATCACGCTATTCAAAGAGATGAAGCTTCCTATACCAGAAACAGAAACGAAACAAAACACCTCAGTTATCACTTTCAAAGTCAGGCAATCCTAACAGTTGGCAGGGAGTAAAGAGGAATTTGTTCATAAGCCAAGTCTCATTTTATTATTGCAACGTAAGTTCATAATGAATGATCCCAGCTAATACAAAAGAACACACTAAATAATAAACCCACGATGAAATAATAAGAAATAGCCAAATGTCATTATTTTCAGTAATGAAACTCTTTGCATTAGAAGAGAGGGGCTTGGCATCTTAGATGGGGTGCCCCACCTCATCAAGGCTTCACCTCTACCCCCGAGGATAATCCTGCCACCCTGCTTATCTCACAGGGATATTAGTGAGATCCGAACATGTGACGCGATTTATCAATTATAGGACACATTCTGCATCTTTGTTGTTAATTTAAGGGGGCTGGTGAATGTGAAAATGCAGAGCCCTGTGGGGGTATAAGGGGCGTGGAAGACAGTCATGGCAATGGGTCTCGAAAAGGCCCAACTAGAACAGAAAGGCCCCTGAGAATAGGTTGGTGTTCGCTGACCTGGGGAAGAGAAAAAGCCATTGAATAGTCTCCTCTTGCTTTAACTAGAGCAAATCTGAGTACTGGTTCTTCGTAATATTTATGCTGCTGCGACTGACAGAGTTAGATCAGCAGAAGATTAAAGTGGAAGAGAAGGTACGTATGTAATCATGCGTGTGCTCCGTGTGTTTTCCGGTTAATATGTTCAAAACTTGCATGCTGCTTGTGGCAGGGTTAGTGCAACCAATCAGCGAGACGCATAGCAGTATGCAGATTAATCCTTTCCAGGACGGATCTCCTTGTCCCCGGTTTGTCAGTTGAACCCCCTGTTGAGCTGGGTCTCAGCACTTGCAGTGACAGGCTGTCCATGGGTGCGGTAGGCAGTCTGACAGTGCGGAAGGCAAACGGGCGCCCCCTCCTGCTGCCCACTCCCTGTTGTGGCTGACAGCAGTATACGCCACTTTCCGATCTAATCGCAGACTCTGAAATTGTCTGTTATTTTGAAAATTAACAACGAAATGTATCGTGTCTTTCGATGTAATCTCTGCTATTGTAGTGTCTCTGCTTCTGCTCTCTATGGTGATCTGTCTGGTCCACAGAGTTGCGGAGGAATGAGCTCTTGAGTGCTAGCCCGCACCAGCTCCCTCCTCCCATGACCGCTAAGGAGGGGCTGCTTATACGAGATCCACTGTGAGAAGGGAATGAGAAAGGTATAGAGGTGGGCACCTATTGCATCCCACAGATGCCTTTCTGCAGCCCAGACTAAGAGTTCCAGATGCTTCCCCATCCTTATTTCCACACTCCCAGGCCTCTTTTAACATTTTGCAAGTAGAATTAAAATGAAAATCACCGTTAAATAAAGGGTCATGTGTTTAGGAGGCCAGTAAAAACAGAGACCTTTACACCAAGGATAGGGCCTGTATCCTTGGCTAGAGAGAGTCAGAGAAAAGTGGAGCAAGTCTGGGAGAATGTGAGGGGGTGGGAACATCTTGGGCAAGAAGATACCAGAAAGCAGTCCAATGGCGTCGACGACATAGAATCTTGAACAATGCATTTTATTCCTTCTTCTCGTCCTAGAAGTTGGATTGTTTATTGTATTAAAATCAATCACGTGCTTCAGAGGTGTTGTTTTGTCTTTAGCTTGCTGCCCCAAACGGAGAATATAAAGGAAATGAGGACTTAAGGACCTGGCCCAGCTTTTTACAGTAACAGCCATTATTGGAATTTTAGGGAAGTTAGTGACAGGAAGAATGAGTGCAAGGCCAGGGAGCACGTGACTTACCTTGTCAATCTAGAGTGCATATCTAGGAATTTCTCTAAGCGCAGGCCAACCCTCACGTTCTTTCGGGAGCAAACACATCTCCTTTTTACTTTCCTCCTTCTGGAAAAGGTTTCTGCCGTGAATATATATGACCCTCCCCCTGAAGTGGTCGCTGTCCGAGATCACATGACCCATGTTGTCAACAGCATGTCGCAGCCACAGAGGATCTTTGACAGGTATTTATTAGGACCCTCTACAGGTAGAACGCATGCCAGAAACAGACAGGATTGCTGTTTCCTCTAGCCCTCCTTCTCGTGTGAGTCACTCCTTCGCTAGAGAAGCGACTTTCTCAGGGTTGGAGAGAAGGCTCACAGGCTAAGAGCACCGGCTGCTCTTCCACGGGACCCGGTTCAATTCCCAGACTTACGTGTGAGCTCACAACTGTCTGTAACTCCAGTCCCAGGGGATCTGATTCTCTCCTGGCATCCATGAACATCAGTCACACACATAGCTCATGGACGACAGACTCCGTGCAGGCAAAACACATGTGTACATAAGACAGTTAAAAAAAAGTTTGTAGTTTCTTTCTTCCTTCTCTGAGGTAAGGGGCCACGTCTCCCACTGTGGCTGCTAACTGTGTGCTTGGCTGTGTTTTCCCTTTGGTGGCTTTCCCAGGCGTGAGGGTGATCTGACTCCCTCCAGTCTCTCTTCAGGACCCTTGCATTTTAGCTGCCAAAGCGAATCAGGGGTAGAGGGTAGACTTTTTCTTATGGTCTGAGAGGATATGGTCCATCATCGTGATGCAGAATAAAGAACTCCCAGCTGCGGCAGAGGGGTTTTCTTATGTCTGGGCAGATCGGGAAGTGGGGACGAGAAGGCAGGCTCTCAGTCCTGGGTGGTACTAGTGTTGGTTTGAATGAGAAATGTCTCCTGTGTTCATGTATTTGAACACCTGCTCCTCAGTTGCGGTGCTGTTTAGGAAAGATTATGGAACCTCTGGAGGTACGGCCTTGCTGGAAGAAGTCCGTCATTGGGGGAGGACTCTGAGGGTGTACAGCTCTGCCCAGCTTCCAGCTTGTCCTCTCTGCTTTGTATTTTCCATTGAAGATGTGATCCCTGAGCCTCCTTCTCTGGGCTGCTTGCTGCCGTCCCTCCCCTGCCGTGATGGACTCTTCCTTGAGACCCGTGAACGCAAAGTGAACCCCCTTTTTAGTTGCTTTTTGTCATGATATCTATCACAGCAAAAAGTAGCCAATATAGCTCTGTACACATGTCATATTCCCCTCAGTTAACCCTCTTTGGAAAACCCCTCAAAAATGCACCCAACGGTGCACCTCACTAATGTCCTAGACAAGCTGAGGGTCACAGTTAACATCACCCCGTCCCTTGGAAACCCTTTCTTAACTGCGGGCATTCTGGATGGATTCTGATCTTTAGGGGAGTACCTAGCAGGAAGCCCAGCTCACCCCGGAGAAACCTGAATTGTCTCTGCTGGGATGCCACCAGCGCAGCAGGGAGGAGCCACCTTGCGTGGCTGCACGCAGGAGTCTCTCACCTCCACATCCGAAGACAGATTTACCACGGTTTCTCCATTTCTCTTGAAACAGTCTGTCAGAGCAGATGGCCATTGATGCCACAAGTATAACACAGAAATTCTATCAATACCCACAGGCGTTTTAAAAATACTTGTAAGCTCTTGGATATAAGTGCTTCTTTTCTTCCTGCGGTGTTTGCTCCTGCACCTCACAGTTGGCTTCCCGCAAGAGAGCAGAATGTTTGATTTCACGATCCAGGACGCGGTTTTTGCAAACAGTGTCGTCATGTCGGCATTGGCAGCTTTGCATGTTCATGAGAGCCCTCCAGGTGAGATGATTTAGCCCTCCATTGTGTACACCAGAAGTACATTGGACTTAGAGAAGGTCTCTGTCTTGATTTGCCGCTGCTTGCTCGATGCTTTAGGGTGTATTTATGTAAGAGCACACATCAAAGACATCAGTAGTCATGTTTGAGGAACATACTTCCTAGTCACATCTGGCTGCCAGACAAACAAGGGCAGAGGCCAAGGAGGTGTGGATCATGGCTCACAGTTCTGCTTCAGTGGCTGCCGGGAAGACCAGCCATTGCAGCTGGAGGAGGGCACCAGGGGGCTGCAGGCACCTGGTCTGTCAATGGTATACTGACATTGCCAGAAAATCAGTGTTTCCTGAATGGGGTGAGGATGCCTGATTGAAATGATGCAGACAAACTGCGAGTGGCCTGGTAGTCACTGATAGCTCTACCCTTTAGTATGCGCAACTTCCCCAGAACCGTCTTGTGCACGCTTTCCCCCAATGCTGGCCCTAATTTCTTCAAGAGGCCTTGGTTTTGTTCTGGCATACTTTGGACATAACATATGCCTTCACAATTATTTTACTTATGGAGAATTTTTGAATTGTCTAACACTTTTCTGGCTCCATGGCTTTGATTTTCTCGGTCAGGAAAACTTCCTTTTTGGCTATTTTCAATATTTGTCACTATCTGTCATATTTTTTTCTTGAAAATTGTGGGAGTCACTATGTGCATGCCATTGTAGGAAACAGTATACAGGGACTCTGCACCTTTCCCCCACATCCCACGACACTGTTGCCCTGGACAACAGTGAGTCGAGTACCAAAACCAGAAGACTGACCCAGAAGCCTTCTGAGTCACCGGGTTTCTCTTGTCCCTCCGGGACTCCTGTCTGCTTCTGTGCGGCTCTATCGGGAGTCTGTCAGCTGGCAAGCACCACATTCAGGACTTAGCAGTTTCATCCCAGGCCTCCCCGTGGTGCCTTTAGATAGGTGTGACTCTTCTATCTATCCCTCTCTCCCTCCACATCTTCTCTCAGCCCGGAAGCCATGATCTGCCCCCATATCGTAAGATTGTCAGGATTTATGATGTATGATGTATAAGATCAAGAGTATGATGTACAGCGGTCACACAGTGTAACTTTCCACCGCTCTCATCCTCCCACCCCGTGCAGGGCACCTTCCTGGAGATTCATCCATGGGGGTGAATCCTTTTATTTATTGTTAAGTAGTATTCCAGGGCGTAGATGTATCAGCATCAGCCATTCACATATTAAAGGTGTTTATGCTGATTCCAGTTTGGGGTGCCGCTAATAAAGTTGCTGTGAATACCCGTGAGCAGGATTTTGCGCATGTCACTTTCAGCCCATCTGTTTCCAGTGGGCACCTAGAGATGTTCAGAGGGCTCCTGTCCTTAGATCTGTCGGATGGTGCCCACTGCTTCCTTTTCCAGTGCCGGCTCCAGTCCCAGGCAGCCAGCACATTGCTGGAGACTCTTGCCTCCTTCTGTGGCGTGTGTTCTCCGTGGGCGCTTGTGTTTAAGCTTCCCCCGTTTTTATGGTTATCCACAGACATTAGAAACCCATGCGGTTTCCTGGATGTTATAGACTCTTCCCTGAACCCACAGCTCAGCTATGCAATCGAACATTTCATTCTGTTTCTACGGTTTATCTCACAAAGAGTGTGCAAACCATTGGCACAGTGTGTGATGTAAGACACCATGTTAATAAATCCGTTCCTGTTGAAGGTCGGGGTCTCTCTATGTAACTCTGGCTGTCCTGGAACACACCCTGTAGAATAAGCCGGCCTTCAGCTCTAAGAGCCCTTCCTGCTTCCGTCTCCCGAGTGCTGGGATGAAGGGACTGTGCTACTCTGCCAGGCAATAATTTCATTCTTTATTCCGGTCTTCCAGTCTAGAGTCACATGCCAGCCCTTCCTTTTCCTTTGAGCATGTCACTCTGCCTTCCCTTACTCCAGCTTGTGTTAAGTGAGGATTAATATAGTACAGCCTCCTTAGCGCTGCACTAATTACCCGAGGGTGTGTAGGGATCTAGTGCACTGTCTGGCCTGCGGTGAGCACTCTGGTGTGACTTCACTGTTATGCTGAAGCCTGCTTTGCATGCCTGTGTTCTAAGGTGGGGGGGGGGGGATAGGGATGCTAAATGCGGACCTCAGAATTCACTCACTGTGCTCAATGGTAAATTCTGGGAGGAAGGAATACTTAGTAACCAGGAACTAATGTGTCCTACCATATTTCACCTTTAGAAAAGCTTGGTAAAGGAAACTGAGGGAAATTTGTATTTTACCTTATCTATCCTTTGAATGAAAGTTATATTTTATGTTATGTTGTATATGTGTGTGTGCCTGAGTGTATATATGTGCATAGTGTGTGTGTGTGTGTGTGTGTGTGTGTTGGGGGGAGGTGCCTGTGAAGGCCAGAGGAGGATATCAGATTCCCCTAGAACTGGAGTTATGAGCTGGTACATGTGGGTGCTGGAAACCCAACCTGGGTCTTCTTGGAAGGGCACTTAAGTTCTCTTAACTTCTGGTCTGTCTCTCCAGCCCTAGTATTATTTTTGATTTATTACAATCTCATTCCAGAGAGTGGAACCATCCTTCTGCTTGTCTATATTCAGCGAGCACTTGTCAGTTCTGACTGTGAGTTAGAAACCCTGCCTGTGCAGGTAGCTAATGTCTCTGTGGGATCTTGTTGCAGTACTCTGCCGAGTCTGGATGCCCCTTACCCCATGCTGATCCTAACTGGTCCTGCAGCGTGTGGGAAACGAGAACTTGCCCACCGCCTCTGCAGACAGTTTAATACTTACTTCAGATATGGGTAAGTTTTCCGTTGCGTGTAAGTCTGGGAGATTTTCCTGCCTTGCTGAGGGCAGCAATCGTTTCTTTACAAAGTTCTCAGATGTTGATAATTCTGTCTGCTTTAAGCAAATTCTTAGATGGACGCACAATTTATTTAAGTTATACTTAAAAGCTAGAAGTGATAAGTAAGTGACAAAGATGTCACGTGGATGACAAGTCCTCGGATGTCCCAACCGCCATATCGCTACACTTGATTGGTCCTCGGATGTCCCAACTGCCATATCGCTACACTTGATTGGTCCTCGGATGTCCCAACTGCCATATCGCTACACTTGATTGGTCCTCAGATGTCCCAACCGCCATATTGCTACAATTGGATTGGTACAATTACTTGGACTTGCACGATGTGGAATCTTGTTTCTCCCACCATCCTAAATGATATAGTAGAAATGATTATTAGCATATATTCCAGTTGCAGAACTTATGAATTAATGAAAAGAAATAACAGATTTTGTCTTTGGTGAGACCAGTAGTAAATAGATCTCAGTGACCAAACACGTAGACAAGCAGGGCACACTCGGTCCTTTATACACCTTCCCCACGCAAGGTCGTTTAGCTTCTTTGCCATTAATCATACTGTAATCTACACAGGGTTCTATATGTAATCCTTCTAATGTTTAAGTTATGCCAACTCAGATCATTCTCCAAGACCTGAAAGTGCTGATCGCTTTAACTGAGGGCTGTGGTGTTTGAAGGAAGTGTCCTTCTACTGTCTTGCTGTTGTGTGGCACTTTCTAAGGAGAGACCAAAGTAGTGAGTCTACTAGAGACCTGTTTATTGAACCAATGAGTTTTCTGGGGTCACTTATAGTAGCGTGGAGACCCAAAGGCAGCTCCATTACCATCTCTGCGTCTATCTCCACATAGGCGGGACCCCCTGCTCACTACACC